CCTCCCACCCCCCTAGTCCAGGCGTGGCCTTCACGCTCGTCCTCCCAGGCTCCACTTGGACACTCGCTTTCTGCTTTCTGACAAGTGGGCAGTCCTCAGGCTCCTTTGTTTCTCTTGCGTTTGGTCAGTGGCAGAGGAGACAGGGCCCAGCTTGGCTGTTAGCATTCGGCGTTTCCCTCTCAGCCACCACCTCGTAACCTGCTGCCCTTCTCTATGCTCTCCCAGGAAAAGCTGAACTCCTATGGCGTGCAGCCCTACTACATGGTCGTGGAGGACGATGGCAGTGCCCACGGGGTGCTCCTGCTGAACAGCAATGCCATGGGTAAGGTGCCAGCACCCTCTCATTTTGTGAGCTGGTCATTCTTTTTTTTTTTTTTTTCAGATGTATTTGTTATGCATATAAGAACTGGGGTACAGGCCAGAAGTGTTGGGGGTGAGAGGATTCACCAGAGACAGAACAGGCAGATGTACTGAAGCACACTGCTGAGGGGAGCAGCGGGGAGACAGGAGAGGTCCCGCACCCTGGGGTCAGCTCCCTGGAAGGGATGGAACTCGCTTCATAGTGCTGCGTGTTAAGCCCTTGCACCTCCAGGGAGGCCTGGGCTGATGGTTCTTGGGGCACTTTAGCGTCTGCTTCATCTAGTCGCCTCCTCCTCCTGGAGTCAGACTTACCTGTGGGCAGTTTTCTTTGTCTTTTTTTCCTTCCCAACCTTTCCATTTTTTTCAGGTTGTTGACATGTGGTAACAAGAATTAACTCGATTTTTACTTGGCAAAGATCATATAAGAAAGGCCACAAAACCGAGCAAGTTCTAACTATCCAAGTAGTCAGCTGGTGAGGTCCAGCTATAGGGGTTGAGCTAGTGGTGAGGCTCTGGCTCAGGGCGTTCGCTCAGGTATGAGGGATGAAGAACTTACGGATGTATATTCCATATATATACAGAAATGGGCAGTGATATTTACCCCAAAATCAGGACTTGGGGGCGAGAAACACATGTGAAGTTTGAATACATCCGAGTAGGCAGCGTCGTGTTAGCGTCTCATTGTGTCACATCAGTCCTGGTCTTGACCAGGTAGGATGTTGTTACTGGGGGGAGCTGGGGAAGTGTATGAGGGAACTCAGTACTACACTCGTAACTTCCCACAGGACTTATGCTATTCTAAGATAGACATTATAATACTAAAAAAAAAAAGAAAGAAATCTTAATACTATTTAATTATCTTTTTAAAGATTTATTTATGCATACAGAACTGGGGTACAGGCCAGAGGTGCAGGGGTGGTGGAGGATTCACCAGAGACAGAGTGGGAGCAGAACAGGCAGATCGATGAAGTACACTGCTGAGGGGAGCAGCGGGTGGGTCAGGAGAGGTCTGCCGCGCCATGTGGGTCACCCCCAGGGCCAGGGATCGAGCTCGCACCGATGCGGCTGTGGCTGGCTTGCAGTGCTGCGTCCTTACCCACTGCGCCACCAGGGAGGGCCCATACTACTGTTTTAAAAAGAATAGAATAACAAAGCACGTTAGATAATAAAGCATATCAAAGGCAGAAGGCCAGAATGGGGCCCTGTGGATTTTCATGGAACGTCTTCAGTTCGGTACAGGTGCAGCTCCTCTCGCTATCAGGGAGGCATAGCAAGAGGGCAAAGGTCTGAGGGTCAGGGGGTTCCTCATCTTCAGGCTTTCCAGCTTGACTGGCAGTTTTCTTGCTCTTCAGATGTGACATTCCAGCCGCTCCCTGCGCTGACATACCGCACTATTGGAGGGATTCTGGACTTCTATGTGATCTTGGGGCCCACTCCAGAGCTTGTCACTCAGCAGTACACTGAGGTAGGAGCGAGCGCAGTAGGTCAGAATTACAGTTTGCGTGCTAACACCCTCAGTCGTTAGTGCAGCCTCAGAGGGCACCTGGAATTCTGGATCTTCAGGGAAGACAGATTTATACAAGAGGAGTAATAACCTTTAAACTTGTCACGACCCAAACATGACAGGCTGGCACTGGTAGTGGTGGTGCCAGTGCTGGTGGTGACGGGTGTAGAGGGTGTGGTGACGAGACGGTGGGTGTAGTGGTGGAGATGGAGGTGGTGGTGGTGGTGTTGGTGTTGAGGTGTTGGGGGGGTGGCGATGGTGGTGATGACAGCATGATGCTCTGGCAGCTGCCACAGCACATATATAAGACTCGCCACAGGTCACTGAACAGCCTAACTTGTGTCCAGGGTCCCCCTGACCAGCAGGACTGGAGCCTCTGAAAGTCAGGAGTTTCCTCTTAGATGCTGGGTCCTTAACCAGTGAGCAAGAATGCCTCTAGGAATCAAAGTGAAATGAGATTTTTCAAAATTCCTAGGGAGGGGCCTCATTCATTATCTGACCCAGGCACTGGAAAAGTATTGTCACTGCTTTGTAAACATCAGTCCAGAGTTTTCTTTTTAGGGACTAATGTTCTGTCTGTTTTCCAGTTGGTGGGTCGGCCCGTGATGGTCCCTTACTGGTCCTTGGGCTTTCAACTCTGTCGCTACGGATACCAGAACGACTCTGAGATTGCCAGCTTGTATGAAGACATGGTGGCTGCCAGGATCCCCTACGTAGGTTCCTAACCTGTGGCGTCCTGGCCTGCTGAGCCGGGTCTCTCTGCGTCTGCATAGTTGGCTGTCTGAGGGGTTCTTCAAACTACGAAGCGCTTTCTCCATCTCACTGAACCTCACCCAGCCGTTGCGCCAGCTGGGATCGTTGTCCCCATATTGAAGGTTCCCACTGCTTTGCCAGGGAAGGAGGACGTGGGTTAAACTCTTGGGCTTTCCCTGCTCTATGTTACTTGCATCTTTTTTTTTTTTTTTAAACGGATGACAAAACATTTAGTCAAAAACATCCTTGATATCACAATAATAGAAGTGCCCCGAACATGGTTTAATTAAAAAGAAATCTCAAATTGAGCAGGCATTTGTGTGTGTGGCCAAAACCTGAGCTCTAGCACCTTGCCAGTCTGCCAGTGCTTCAGCACGGTGCTCCCTCCATCTCGTGCCAACCTCTGAATGCAGAGCAGGGCAGTTCACGTGCGCCGTGCTGTCCCTCACGTGAGGACTCAGGGGCTTCCTCACCTGAGAATCGCCCTCTGGACCACGCGCCTATTTAATTTTATTCGATTTCTGTTTCTGTTGTTGTCAGTTGTTCTTACGAGTAGACCACAGTCCCTCCCTGTAGTGAGCCCTCGCAAGGCACTTGTTCACCCCTGTCCTCACTGCATCCCCACTGTCCTCACAACAGCCTCTAGGTTGCATGCAGACCACCCTGTATGTTGCTAATTTAGGCTTTTCTGCTGTACCACTAAAATTTTGAAAATTTGGTGAATTTCCTAGAAGCTACTTCGTAATAAACAATATAGCGGGGGTTGATGGGCTCACTTTCACCCTCTGTGAGTGCCTGGAGCCTGCTGCCAGCAGGTACTGAGTCCTGTGCGCCCCCAAACCCTCCACAGGATGTGCAATATGCGGACATCGACTACATGGAGCGCCAGCTGGACTTCACCCTCAACCCCAAGTTCGCGGGCTTCCCTGCTCTGATCAATCGCATAAAGGCAGATGGGATGCGGGTCATCCTCATCCTGGTGAGTCTGTGTGATGGGCAGCATCTGCCTGGGAGAGTGGATGAGCGTCGGTGGACACAGCTGTAGCGTGTCCCGTCCATGTTCCCAGCAGAGAGGTTGACGTTTACATAGCAAAGCGCTTTCCCAGGACTCCTAGACGCAGGCAGTTCTTCAGGCCGTGTCCCTTATTAGTGGGGGTTGGGGGGTGTCCCTCACTGGGGGAACGTGTCCCTCACTGGGGTGCCATATCCCTCACTGGTGGGGGGGCGGTGTCCCTCACTGGGGCGCGGGCCTCTCTTTGTGTCCCAGCTCTTTCTTAGACTTTTCCATCTGGGCTTTGGGGTCAGAAGTTCTTACCTTCTTCATCAATATTTCTCAACACGGTGAAGGAAATTTTAGGGATAAATGTGCATGGCGAGAGCCACTTTTCTGTCTGCATCACCCTCTGCCTTTGGCTTTCAGGACCCCGCCATTTCTGGCAACGAGACCCAGGAGTATCTTGCGTTCCGTCGCGGCCTGAATGATGACGTCTTCATCAAAGATCCAAGGGATGGAAGCATTGTGTGGGGCAAGGTCTGCTCTCTGACCCCCTGTCTCTCAGCGGGCATGGGTGGTGGTGGTGGTGGGGTGCGGGGGGGTGCTCTGTGTGTGTCCGAGCTGTTTCTGGACTCTGGGGTCAGACGATCTTATCTTCTTAACCAGTATTTATCAACATGGTGAAGGAATTTTTAGGAATAAATGTGCATGGTGAGATCCACTCTCCCACCCGCAAAGTCTAAATAGTACCACGGGATATAATTTCTTAGGAACTTCAAGTTCTCCAGCGCATTTCTTCTGAATCCTGTTCTCTCCACAGGTCTGGCCTGATTTGCCTGGGGTTGTTATAAACAGTTCTCTCGACTGGGACACTCAAGTGAAGGTAAAAGGCCGTGGAGGGTGCTGGGTGAGGGCAGGGCTGGGGGAGAGGAGCCGCCTTACCCAGGACTCGGGGCGACTCCTCGCCGGGGGAGGTGTGGGAAGGAAAGGCACTCAGGGAACAGCTCCTGGGGTGTCTGCGTGCCTGTTATTGCTCTGCATAATGGAGACCCAGAGAGCTTGAATACTTGCCCATGGCTTTAAGTGACAGTGGTGATTTCTGACTTACAGCGGTGGATTCCAAAGGTCCTGGCGTTTCCACATTGTGACACTGCTAGGAAAGATCTTTCCCCTCAATCAGGGCACTTGCTGTCTTTTTATTACCTTTGCCTTGAGTACCCCTTTTACATTAGACTGTCACCCCAGCCCTTTCGCTGTGCTTCTGTTTTGGCCTGGCCAGTTGCCCTTTTCACTCCAGTAAGTCCCCCAGCCTTCTTTTGGTTTCCCACCTTTGCTCCTGTCTCCCACTTTCAAGATTTTTGTTGACACTTGCTGACTCCTGGGAGCAGGTGTGCACTGGTGAAGGATCGCAGTAAGGGTCCCAGGGTGAGGACCCCTCCCTGCTCTCGCTTGTGCTTCCACAGCATGGGCGTCCGGGCAGCTCACCGGCACACAGAAATCTGCCAGGCCGGTCAAGTTCAGGCTGCGGGGCTCCTTGGCTTTTGTTCACTTATTTTCTGTTTGAGTATTTCCCTCCTCGTTCCCTGCCAGCGTCGCTGAAGTATAATTAACAGCACTGTATATATTTAAAGTATAAGAATATGATAATTTGATACCCAGAGATAAGAAATGAGTGCGTCAGGTAAATTAGCACAACCTTCATCTGACGTCATTACCGCGTGTGTGTTTATGTGTTGAGAATGCTGAAGGCCTGTCCTCTGAGCAACTCCTAAGAATACAGTATGATTTAACTAGTCACCATGCTGTACACTATTGCTCCAGAACCTACTCATTTTAGAAGGGTAGACTTGGGCCCCATGATTTACATCTCCCAGCCCCCCAGTCTTTTGCCCCTGGTAATTACCATTTTCCTGTTTCTGTGAGTTCGGTTTTTGTTTTTAGATTCCACATACAAGAGAGATCATACAGTATTTGTCTTTCTCAGTCTGGCTTATCTCACTTCGCCTAATGTTCTTTAGATTCATCCATGCTGTCCCAAATGGCAAGCTTGTTTTCTTTTTCATGACCGAGTAATATTCCAGTTTGTACAGCGCACATGTATCACTTCTTTATCCATGCTCCCCTCGTGAGTTCTCAGTAATTTGGCTCACTGCTCAGTGGGCTAAGCCTTTGTGTTCTGATTCATTTTTGTTTTCTCCTTTGTGTCCTTCTTCTACCTTTTATTTGCACTATGGCTTCCTATTTGCTTTTAGTCCATTGTGTATGAGAACCGAAGGCCAAACCCTTTTTGGGCTGTTCCCTTCACCCTTGCCGCCTGCGTGACTTATCTCTTTAACTCTTAAATTGCCTTAATAACATAGAGGCACCTATTTACAGAGACATACAGAGGACCATGAAGTTCCCTAAGCAGTAACATGGGCTCGGAGGAAGTGATGGGTATCTACTGTTGTATGTGTGAACTCACCATTTTACATTCAACACTTATTTTATATCAGGTTTTTAAGCACTGTGGGAAATACAAAGATCATATAATATAATATAAGCTAAGGTCCTTGTGGCCCTCCCTGGTGGTGCAGTGGGTTAAAGTGCAGCACTGCAAGCTAGCATAGCTTCTTCAATGTGAGTTCGATCCCCGCCCCGGAGGTGACCCACATGGCGTGGCAGCCCTCTCCTGTCTAGCCCGCTGCTCCCCTCAGCAGTGTACTTTGTTGATCTGTTGTTCTTCTCCCCACTCTGTCACTGGTGAATCATCTCACCATCCCTGCAGCTCTGACCTATACTCCATTTCTGTATGCATAAGTAAATAAAATCTGAAAAAAAAAAATAAGGCTCTTGCTATCAAAAATCTTATAAAAGAGTTAAGGAGTTATACCTTGGATTCACCTTCAAATTAAAATGAAGACACAGCTTTTGTTAGCTGAGGAGGACAAGCGAATAGAGAGTTGAAACTTTCTCCCTAAGTCTTTCTTATTTGAGTGACACAAAACTGCAATTTTCAAATGATCCTGAAGCCATAGAAAGTGCTGGTACATGTAATTAGAGGCTCAAACAATGAAATGCAGTCTTGCCTGTTACCTCCATTCCTTATGGAGCGAGATAGGAGATGACCACCTAGAACTCTCTTCCTGACCTGTTGCCTTTGATGTCTGCCCCTGTAAGGGACATCTTTCCTGGCTCATTGTCTTTGAGGAGTGGTGCAGGCACTGCAGGAGAAAGCGGAGGGCTGGGCACCTGCTGGGTGGCAGTGTGAGTTCAGGTGTTAGCTGCCGCCATTCAGATAGGGACAAAGAGGACAGCAGGTCAAGGACGGAGGCTAAGAAGGTGTCTGGCTTGCGCAAGTTTCTCTTCTTTGCACTCATTTTATTTCAAGTAAGCCCAGAACGTTGCTTGGGCTCTCTTTGGGTCATCCATCGCCATGGTCCCAGGCCAGACCCATATACGAGTGAGTCCCCATCTCCCGTCAACACACCTCCCAAGAAGGAACACGATTTTCACTACAGCAATGTGACAACTCTTCGTTACTAAATGGACACTCATGGACATGGACTCAGGCAGATTTAGATCAAGCGTGGCCCCACACGTGAGAAACTAACAGTCCCATAGCCGGTCAAACTGATGAGGACTCTGGCACCTTCAGGATGGCAGGGGAAGCGCACACGGGGATGCCAGCCATGACTACCCAGTGTGTGTGAGGCTGTCATAGTTTAGTTGCCAGAGGCAAAGGGAACATGGAGAACGGAAATCTGTCTATGTCCAAAGTTACTCCTATCCATGGGATTTTTTTTGCTTTTTGCTTATTCTTATTGAGTGGCTAACTAATATTTTACTGAATTATGAGATTTCGCATGCATGCAACTTTGGGTGAGTGCACATGTGCTGTCTAACACGTCGGCTTGGACCACATAAGTGAACTTTCGTTTTTACAGCTCTATCGAGCACATGCAGCCTTCCCAGACTTCTTCCGTAATTCAACTGTCACGTGGTGGAAGAGGGAAGTGAAAGAATTACACGACAACCCCCTGCACCCAGAAAAGAGCTTGAAGTTTGATGGCCTGTGGATTGTAAGTGTGCACATGTGTCTTTGTCCAGGTAGACACGTGTGGTCAGTGGCCTTTAATCAAGGAATCAGTCACCTGAGAAAGACTGTGGAGATACCAGACTAGCTCTTCCAGCTGGTGGTGCGGTAGCCTCAATATGTCTCATACCTTGGACCTGAAGGCTCTAAAACTTGTTGTAAAACACTAAGGCGATTACTAGAATTCCTGGGAATTGAATTTGCCTCAGACTCTAAAAAAGAATTCTAAAAATTCCTCTCTCAGTCATGCTGGAGGGCTCATTGATCATTCCAATCAGTCGTCAGTCTATACTGGTCTGGCCTCCGTGGGAGGGCTGGGTGGGTCTGAGTGGACAGGATGCCATCGTTTTAGAGATTAAGCTGTACCTGTGTTTGGCATTTCTAGGATATGAATGAACCTTCAAGCTTTGTGAATGGGGCCGTTGAGCCAGGCTGCAGAGATGACCCTTTGAATCGTCCCCCCTATATGCCACGTAAGGACATTGGTCCTATCTCCTGCCAGGCCTGGCGAGAGGTGTGACCTTCAAGAGGGCCCAGTGGCCAGGCGTTTATCCTGACTGGTCGGGGCACATCACTGGTGCTTTGGTGCTTTGGTTTGGGGAGCCCAAAGACAAACATACTTAAAGTGTTTCACTCACTCAGGTCTGTGCAAATTACGCATCTGATGGTTGAATTGCTCAAATTGGCTCAAAAATGCTCGACAGTGGTTACGTCTCCAAAGGATGCTAGGTTTCTTACATGTTGAGGCTTCTACCAGTCCTCACAGGGCCCCAGTGAGTGGAAAGTAGCATCTTCACCTCATCATGGATCCATGAACTTTGGCTCCAGAAATTATTCTGTCAGTTGTATGGCCATGAGAAGATTACTGTATGATTCCAAATCTGAGTGGTTTTTTTTTTTATGATAAAGGGAGGATAATGATACCTTCATTGAATTATGCTAAGATTCATATGAAGTAATTTACATGTTAAAAGCCTAGATTGGAGCCTGTTCTGGAATAAGTGTTTTCCCCACACCCTGGCTTTCTCTTGGAGACCCCTTGAGAGGGGACTTGATGTTGAAACCACCTGTGGGTGCCATTGTAGTTTAGAGCTGAGTACATCCCCATCCACCTAGGAAGGAGAGGGGTCCCTGTAGGGTCAAGTCACTCTTAACTTCCAGTCTAATCCCTTGAAGACCAGTCAGGGCTGGCCAGGGTTGGGGCTGGCTTGTACATCACTTCTTTCTCCTCAGACTTGGACGCCAGGGACAGGGGCCTGAGCAGCAAGACCCTCTGTATGGGGAGTCAGCAGATCCTTCCAGATGGCACTCCCGTGCGACACTACGACGTGCACAGCCTGTATGGGTGGTCCCAGACCAGACCCACATACGAGTGAGTCCCCATCTCCCATCTGCAGGCACAGACCATGATGCCGCTGCCCTCTTTTCCTATCAACACACCTTCCAGGGAAGAGCAAGATTTTCACTATATGCGACGACTCTTAGTTATTAAGTGGACATGGACTTGGGCCTCGTCATCACACTTAGGAGGCAGATTTAGATCAAGCGTGGCCCCATAAGTGAGAAACTAACAGTCCCGTAGCCGGTCATTCTGCAGGGTCAACTTGGCCATTCCAGTCAACATCCAGCTGAAACTGATGAGGGCTCTGGCGCCTTCGGGATGGCAGGGGAGGCGCACATGGAGACACCAGCAATGACTAACCAGTGCGTGCGAGGCTGTCATAGTTTAGTTATCAGAGGCAAAGGGAACATGGAGAACTGGAAATCTGTCTATGTCCAAAGCGAAATCTATCCATGGGAATTTTGTTTATTCTTGTTGAATAGCCAACTAGTATTTTACTGAATCATCACGGTACCATTTTGTGTGCTCACTCAATGAAAAATAAGAACTAACCTGAGAAAATCCTTGCAACGAAATTTCCCTTTCCTCCCAAAGATAGAACGCTAGGAAGTGAGTAAATAAATAGTATGACTTGGTGATTAGTTATTATCTTTAAGTAATCTGATGAGGTTAATGCACAGTGAAGTTTTTGGTAAAATACTGGAAAGCACCAGGTAAAGGCACAATTGTCCTTATTATCTTCATCATCTGGGTCTGTTAGTGGAGAGCTCGTGATGACTCCGATGTCCATATTCTGTCCAAATGACCCGGGACACGTTCTGCCACCAAGCTGTGGGCCCAGAGGCAAAGGGAACATAGAGAACTGGAACTCTGTCTATGTCCAAAGCGAAACCTATCCATGGGAATTTTTGCTGCTTTTCCTCCCTTGCGTTGTTCTCAATCACCTCCTTGTTTTCTGTCCCACCAGAGCTACGCAGGAAGCGACGGGGGAGCGTGGGATTGTCGTGACTCGTTCTACATTCCCCTCTTCTGGCCGCTGGGGAGGACACTGGCTGGGAGACAACACGTCTGGATGGGACCAGCTCAGAAAGTCTATCATTGGTAAGCGAGAGGATCCCTGGCTGCTCAGCAGGGGAAGGAGGACAGTCAGTAAAGGAGTCTCGGGGTGTGGGGGCAGGTCACGCACCCCTCATCTGACACAGCTGTGTTCTCACTGCAGGCATGATGGAGTTTAGCCTCTTTGGCGTATCCTATGTAAGTTTTCTTTGGATCTTTCCTTATCACCAAACAGATGGTGACAGTCCCAGAAAATAATACACTTATTTTATTTCATGTTGTTTCAGACAGGAGCAGATATCTGTGGATTCTTCAGAGATGCTGAATATGAGATGTGTGCTCGCTGGATGCAACTGGGGGCCTTTTACCCCTTCTCGAGAAACCACAACACCATTGGGACCAGGGTAAGACATTAGCATTTTGCTTAAAAGCTTTGTGATTCACTGGAAAGACAACCTGTACTCTTAGCGCCTTTCAAGTATATTGAAAGTATATTTCAAATGTATTCAAATACAGTATTGCTAACAGCACTCACCATGCTGGACACTAGATCCCAGAACATATTCAACTTATAGGCCAACAAGTTAGGCAACATACCAAAAGTGGGCACACTCCTAGAAATGTAAAACCTATCTAGAGTGAATCACTAAGAAATGTAAAATCTGAAAAGACCAATAATAAGTAAGGAAACTCAGCCAGTAATCAAAAATCTCCCAGAAAGAAAAAAAGAAAGCCCAGGACTAGATGGTTTCTCTGGTAAGTTCCATAAAATATTTAATACTTAAGCCATTCCTTTCAAAATGATTTCAGTGGAGTGAACACGCTCATTTTATGAGACCAACATTGCCCTGACACTAAAGCCAGATAAGGGGACTACAAGAAAAGTTAACTACAAGTCGGTGTCTCTGCTGAATATAAATTCCAAATCTTCAACAAAATGTTAGTGCACCAAATTCAATAATATATTAAAATTATTACGCACCATGATCAAATAGCATATAGCCTTGGGATGCAAAGTTAGCTCAGCCTGTTCATGTTGATAAATGCGCTACACACCATGAAGGCAATAAGAGATAAAACCCATATGATCATTTCAGCAGCTGTAGAAAAATCATTTACAGCATCCTTTCATAATAGAAACTCTCAGCAAGTTTGGTATGGAATGAATTTACCTCGGCATAATAAAGATCAAACATAGCAAGTGCACAGCTTTTATTCACTGGTAAAAAGTTGGAAGCTTTTTCTCCAGTATAAGGAATAAGACAAGGGTGTCTGCATTAGCGCTCCTCCTCAACACAGAAGTAAGAGAACTGTAAGAGAAGACATACAGTTGACCCGTACAAGGGAGGCTCTCAGACTTGAGCGAGTATATCCCCCTGTTCTCTATTGTACTGAGTCTGTCCCCCAGATAATGTCATATGGAAATTTTATCAGTTGTCTTTGAGAGCTTGAGTGACCTCTTTCAGTCGATTCGCAACATTTTCTGAGTCTCATCTGTAATCATCTTCGGCTTAGCTACGAAGATCTTCATTTGAATACTTATTTAGTGGTCTCCTGAGGTGCCCCAGGCACCCTAGGGTGACCTCTGAACACCCTTCTTTTCTCCTTTAGCGGCAAGACCCTGTGTCCTGGGATCAAGCCTTTGAGAACCTATCCAGAAGTGTCCTGGAGACCAGATACACCATCTTGCCATATTTCTACACCTTGATGCACCTGGCCCACACAAACGGCAGCACAGTCGTGCGACCTCTTCTCCATGAGTGAGTCCAGGACCCCAATCACTAAGGGATCATTCCACCCTCTGGGGTGGCAGTTGAAGAAGACAGTTCTTGCAAGTGAACTTCAATGCATAATTGCCTTCATCATCAGCTCTTTATGCACAGATATACTTTATGATTGCTTTGCTTATGTTTCAGTCATGCTTCAGTCATTCAGCCATTGATCAAATGCTAATAAATTTAAATTTTTCTCAAAATGAGATAGCACTTCTAATTTAGGCCTGAAAAGATTTGCCAAGACTTTGGTAGCCTATCGGATCACAAAATGAAGTGTTCCAGGGGTGGAGATTTGAGGGATGAGATCATTCTCACATTCACAATGAGCCACGATTAAGAAACATATAGATAATGATAGGTGAGCACATGTCTACATCTGGCCCTTTCTGGAGCTGGAAGAACTCCATGACATGTAGAAATAATGAGTATGTCTTCCTCTGATGTACCCAGAAGAGGAGTCAAGGATGGCATAGATTGCAGCTTCACTTCTGACTTGGGTCTGAGCATGAGGAGTTTCATCACAGCCTTGGCCTGGGTCTCTCTCGGGATCCTGATGTGTCATTGTGGTGTCTCCTTCCAGGTTTGTGTCTGACCGGAACACCTGGGATATAGACAGCCAGTTCCTGCTGGGCCCAGCCTTTCTGGTCAGCCCTGTCCTGTATCCTGTGAGTATGAAGGCCTCCAATGGATGGAAGGCCCCAGCTAGGAGATGGGGGATAAGGGCAGGGGCAGAGGTGGGGTCTGGAGGGGATTCTGAGACATGGCTTCTCATTCTCCACTGTCCTATCTTCTCTCTGTGCATGAGGCTCCTCACTTAGGTATTCTGGGCCTTGGCTCATATTTAAAATGAACATAATAAATTCTCATTCATTGGACAATCAAAAAGGATGCAAAGTTTTATGATATATTTTAGAATATCATGATTTCTTCATTATCTGAGTAAGGAGTATAGGCCGTGTGGGCTGCACTGTAGCAGATTCACTACAGTCCTTGGTCACATTAAAACAAAGAGTTTCAGAAATATTGTCTGAACGAGGTGTGTGGTCTTGTGGGATGGCCCATCCCGCCCTTCCTTAAGATGTCCTTAGGCAACCATTTCTTTATTTGGTTGATGATTAGGCTTTGATTAAAATAGCGGTAACTGCATCCCCTCCAAAACTTACTGCTCTAATCATTTTTCAAAGTATTGACACCATCAAATTTACAAAATATTCTCTGCCCCAGACCCGACCTCAGTTTGTCTCCTTAGAGTGAATCTGGGGGGGATTTTGGAAGAGAATGAGTTTAATCTCCACTGTCCTGGATCCCAAAATATCTTGTGGAAGCCATGGTTTTTGTGCAGACAAGTGTCCCACTTGAGAAGGAGGGAGGGACAGAAGGCTTTCCCAACATTGCTGACCTTCAGTGAGATGAGACATATGTGTTGCTTTGACCCCAGGACTGTACAAATTAGCTACTCTGCCCTGAATAACAGAACGTAACTGTCCGTGTCTTGTTTGTGTTTGATTTCAGGGCCAAAGAGATGTCAAAGCTTATTTCCCCAAGGCCCTCTGGTATGACTACTACACGGTGAGTTTTCCACATTGTCCATACAGCCTGGGATGAGATGGTAGATGTCCATGCAGCCCGGGAGATGGTAGATGAGATGGCGGCTGGCCATGCAGCCTGGGAGATAGGCACACAGCTGAAGGAGGAGCTGACGCTGCCTTTGTCTGGCCCTGACAGTGAATACCTCCTTAAGTTGCACCTGGATACCTCACAGTTGTCCTCTACCCCCAGCCCTGCCCAGGTGCAAACCACTTTATGGCATGCCTGATGTTGGGATTCTGGATATGCTTCTCCATGGAGCTCACCATTGAATCTGGAGCTAATACGGCATGTCGTGAAGACAAATACAAATGTGCAGTCGCACCTGCCACATAAAGCTGAAACATGAGGGGTGATAAGGAGATTTTCCTGGAATTGCTGAGTTTATATAGAACTTTAAGTAGAAGAGTTTGGTTGAAGAAGAAAAGATACAAAAAACCCTCTAGGAAGCCAAACATTGATGGAGTAGTTAGAAAACCTAAAATCTCGATGTTTAATTAGAATGATTTTAATTCAGGGAGAAGTACACCTTTCACTCACCTTCACACACTTGGGTAGCTATTCTCTGTTCTCAGCAAAGGCTGGCTAGCAACATCCTGCAGCCCAAACAGAATGACATCTGTTTGGTAAATCAAATTTTATCAGGGCACAGCCATACGTTTGTTTTCTCGTGGGCAACAGTAACTGCTCACAATACTACAGTAGAGTTGAGTTGAGTGCTCTCTAGTGACTAGAATGTGGATGATCTGGCCCTTCATGGACCAAGTTTGCTGGTCTTTGCTCTAGAGGACAAGCAGGATAAGACCCATTCCCTATATGATCACATGAAAAGGGGAAAATTAAAACATGATGTAGAGGGCCCTCCCTGGTGGCATAAGGGGTTAAGGTGCAGTGCTGTGAAGCTGGCTGTAGCCACTTTAGCACGAGTTTGATACCCGGCCAGAGAGCTGGCCCCAAGGGCACATCAGACCTCTCCTGTCCTCCTGCTGCTCCCCTCAGCAGTGTACTTCCTCAGTCTGCCTGTTCTGCTCCCCACTGTGTCTCTGGTGAATCCTCTCACCCCTACACGTCTGGCCTGTACCCCAGCTCTGTATGCATAAATAAATAAATCTTAAAAAAAATACATGATGTAGAGATTGAGAGGACAAAGAGATGCAGATGGAAGACGTCATGGGGAATGTAAAACTGAGAAGATCCCCTGAAAGATATGCAGTACACCAAATATACATTTGGAAAGTAAAACTATCTCCACTGGTAAAAATTCAAAACAGAAGGAGGCAAATGTTGGAAGATGGAAAGTTGTCAAATCAGCATCTTCTCTTACCCCAACTCTTCTTCCCACTTCTAGTAGCGAATCTGTTAATCTATTACATAGTTTTGCTGATAAAAATGAGTGCAGAGAGTAATCTTTTATCTTTACATGAACACTATAAGCCCACTTGAAGTTAGCTACTACTAATATATCATGGATATCTTGTATATCAATACCTTGAAGTTCTTTTCCATTCTTTTTAGCTACTGTATTAGGTTCCATCATATGGAGTCATTTACGAAACTGTATGGACATTTAGGATCTAGGTTAGTCTGTTTTCCTTTTAGAAGCAGTGGGGAAGTGCTGCAGGAAATTTCATTGTATAGATGTTTTGGCATAAGTAAAACTCCTGGGATAATAACTTTTAAATGGGAGGTGTGGACTTATTCTGACTTGTCTTAATGATTTCCTACTTTTGTGAAGATGAAAACAGATGATGTGTATGCGTCAGTTATCATCTACTTTCCTTGTGGACAATTCTGCTTGTTTCCTGTGTTGAACTCATATTGGGATTTTTTTTTTGAGTCTTCTCTGTCCTCCCCAGTGACCTCCACTTGGTGTGAATCCCTTATACAAGGCTGCATGGAGTCATCTTATTTTTAAAAAAAAATGCTTATTTATTTATGCATACAGAACTGGGGTACAGGCCCAAGATGCAGGGGTAGTGAGAGGATTCACCAGAGACAGAGTGGGGAGCAGAACAGGCCAACTGATGAAGTACACTGCTGAGGGGAGCAGCAGGCAGGCCAGGAAAGGTCTGGCCCACCATTTCTGGAGCACCTCCGAGGCGGGGATTGAACTCATGCTAAAGAGGCTTTAGATTCTTAGTGCTGTGCTTTAACCTGCTGCACCACCAGGGAGGGCCTCATCTTATCTTATTTTTATGGTACTACTGTTAGATCTTATCACCTGATCTTCATGAAGATTTTAATAGGAATTTGTCAGGCTGGCCATGATCAGAAACCATTTAAGGGCAAGTAAACAAACCTGTGACTCATCTTGTAAAGAATAAAACCATGTCATCTCCTACTTAGCTAGAATGTGTGGTGGCGAGAAGTAAAGCATTCAGTAGGAAGACAAGGTTGACAGCTTGACATGTATCAAGTTTCTTGTGAAGACAACAGTGGAGAAAATGTCACTATTTATAAGCTTTTGGAGGGAAATGTTATTGGAGATCGTGTAACCCAGCTTTCTCATGTTATCAGTGAGAAAACTGAAAATGCTTGAAGACATAGGACTGGAATTTATATTAAGCCCTGTAGAACTTGGAGTCATGCGAAAGATCCATGAAGCCCAGTTTGCTCTAGAAAACGTGGTTACTGTGCTCTCTTCTCCCACCTCCCACTATGGTTTAATTAGGATTAAATCTTTGTGAATTGAGCAGCAGGGACCAAGAGTGGAGGTGTGTGGTGGTAGCTTTGCTCCTTACCTCTGAGCTATCCATTTTTACAGGGAGGATTCTGTTTACCAGGGGATACTGGCAACCTCTAGAGACATTTTTGGTTGTCACACGTGCTGGTGGCAGATGTTCCTGGCACCTAAGGGACAGACCCAGAACATCTTGGAAGCACAGGCAGCCCCCACGACAAAGAATCACCTGCCCTGACTGTCCACAGTGTTGAATTTAGAAACCCAGCTCTCTCTTGAGAAAAGGTGGGAGGGTGGTTTCTTGGGAATTGGGGCCTATAGCTTGGGGTGGGAGCACTACTCCTATCACATAGGAGGCCAGATAAACATGTCAAATCCACAGCAAGAGCATGTTAAGGTGATGATTTGTAAAAGAAGTTGGCTCACTTTAATCTTTTTAGGCAAGTAGGAGTAAATGATGTTAAGTTGGTGCTAGTGGGGAGCATGAGAAGTGAGAAGGCCTGGAATTGCCTTTGTGGGTGACGTATCAGGAGCTGGCCTTAAATGCATGAGAGACTCAGCCCCTGTGCCCCCCCACTCAGCAGTGCTGTCTGGCAAGGAGGAGGGTGTGGAGGGGTGGCAGGGTGAGGTTACACGTGATCTTGTCCTGTCGAGACCCCCAAAACAAGGGGTGTCAGCTTGGAGTTCTGGAGCTGTGCAGGGTTCCTCATGGCAGCCAGGTGAACATGATGGTGCATGCAATCATGTGTGTATGCTCTGGGGTCACGAGCCGGCTACATGCAGAAGTAGGTTGTTGAATGGCGGGCAGGCACCATGTTCTCTGCCTCACCATCTCCTGTCTCCTGCCCGTAGGGTGTGGGCATGGACTCGCCGGGAGAGTGGAAGACCTTGCCAGCCCCTCTCGATCACATTAACCTTCATGTCCGCGGGGGCTACATCTTGCCCTGGCAACAACCAGCACAGAACACCTTCATCAGGTGAGTGATGAGCCCCAGTTTCTGCTAGAAGGGTGTGTTAGCTTAGGTCTCGGTAAAACCCAAGCTTGTAAGTGGCAGCCTCAAGCCTAAAGGCAAATTTACCAAATGTTTTTGCTTATTAGTTTGTTTGTGTACATATAAATATTTTTCAGTCTTATGCTCTTATAATTTTTTAAAAGATTTATTTATTTATGCATATGGAGTGGGGGTACAGGCCAGAGATGCAGGGGCGGTGAGAGGATTCACCAGAGACAGAATGGGGGTTAGAACAGGCTGACTGACAAAGTGCACTGCTGAGGGGAGCAGCAGGCGGGCCAGGAGAGGTCTGCCGCGCCATGTGGGTCACTTCCAGGGTGGGTGGGGATCGAATTCTTGATGAAGTGGCTTTAGCTTCTTAGTGCTGCAGTTCCCCTCTGCACCACCAGGGGGGGGCCCTCTTCTTACAATTTTTAATACCTACTTTACCTCTAAGTGGATCAAATGGTAGGCAGAATTAGTGACGTTTGGAATGGAAGTGAAGCAAGCAGTTTTTAGTTGACTTGACTAAGAAAACTATTGCAGGACAATTGTGTAAACTTATTGCCACAGTTCTTGAGACTGAGTCCTCCCCTAGACTTATGTCTATGTTTTCGCTGAGCCTGGAACTGTGCTAATATGGAGCCTTCTATTTAGAGATTATTTTTTGTTAACAAAAGGTAAAAAGAAGCCCTACCTTATAACCACTGGAATTAACCCCATTTTTCAGCAAAGAAAGGCTTTGAGAGGCAAAGTGACTAACTCAGTTTGATCATTAGTAAGTAGTTGAGCAGGGACTAAAAATGCTTGTCTATTTGATGTCACACTAAAATTCTTAGCGCCCCCCCGCCCCCATTTATTGGATTTCAAAAATTCAGTTAAATACTGAGGCACTCACTGTACAGTGTTTCAGAAATTAGGTCAGGAAAGAAGGATGGTTACAACATCACATTCTCCTCACAGTGGGGAGAGGAGTCACTGTATTGGCTGGTAGTTCCTCACAGTACACATGGAGCTCGGGAAGGCTTGTCAACCCTTAGAGGAAATTCCCCTGGATTCCTTCACTCATTCCTGACAGAAGTGACCGTGCTGCTGGAGAGAGAACTAGAACTGGCCCCAGGTCTCTTGAACCCTAGTACCAGTCTCCACACCATGAAGCATGTTTCTTAATGTCTTCATGAAAAACCCTGGCTTGTGACCATGACATGTTCTTAGCTAATGTCTTTCTCCTGCCTCACACAGCCGCAGGAATTTACTGGGCTTCAAGGTCGCCTTGGATCACCAGGGGCGTGCTGAGGGTTCTCTCTTCTGGGACGATGGGCAAAGCATCGGTGAGTACGGAGGGTCTGGGAGATTCATCACGTCACGTCACGTCACGTGCCTCTCATAGGTCTGTTTCTTTCTTTTTGGTGTTCAAACAATTCTGCTTTAAAAATAGATCATTCGTTGATTTTTTTACCTTTAAGTGTTTAATGTATGCTCTACAGACTCTGACATGAAAATGAAGCTTCACTGGGAACCCCTCACCCTTATCCAACTGTCCTACCTCGCTGTGGAAGGCCACAGTTTGGGAGTGGGAGGGTGGTCTCTTTGCAGCCAGCTGAGATGTGTTCAAAGCCCTTTATGTTTGAGGGCACGTTCCTGAATGATGTGGTTTACTGTCCCAGTGAGAGAGACAGTCGCCATCAGTCGTGTCTTTTATCTGAGGGTTTGTTCTGTGAGTTTACAGAAATTGATAGAGTCACAAGGCTCAAATATCATTAGCTTTTTCTTTTCTTGTCTTTTTTTTTTTTTTAAGATTTATTTATTTCTGCATACAGAACTGGGGTACAGTCCAGAAGTGCCAGGCGGTGAGAGGCTTCACCAGAGACAGTAGGGAGCAGAACAGGCTGAGTGACGAAGTACACTGCTGAGGGGAGCAGCGGGTGGGTCAGGAGAGGCCTGCTGCACCATGTGATCACCTCTGGGGCGGGGATCAAACTCGTGCTGAAGTGGCTTTAGCTTCTTAGTGCTGTGCTTTAACCCACTGCGCCACCAGGGAGGGTCCTCGTTAGCTATTTCTAAGTAGGCGCCATCTGGTAGAACTTCCTGCAGTGATGGAAATATTCCCAATCACTGCCATCCACTATGGTAACCACGAGGCCGTGGTTATTGAGCACGTGAAATGTAACACATCACCCAATGAACTGACTTTTTCATATTATTGAATTTTAATGAGTTTAAATTTAAATAGTTCTACTTTGTGAACAGCTGTTATCTTGGACTGCACAGCCCTAGGCTAACCTCTGAGTGGTAAGCAACTTAGGGAAACTCCAGAAAATGGAGGCAGAGTGAGATTCTGACAAAGGTGGGGTGTAGAAGGCGATACCACCCACGACTGTGACTGGTCTACCTTTACTGGATATGCTAAGCTTCCTGTTACTCCTGAACCTGTGACATAAATAAAGGATAAAGGACAAAGACTTCTCTTTGTTCTCTGGAGATGGCTTTTAAAAACACTACTTAATATCCGTCAAGATAAACCAACCAAGACACCAGCATTGGTATTGCAAGGTGATGCATGCAGGTGTGTGCACATATGGGTCAGCCTGTAGCAGAAGGAACCTGGAAATTCCGAGGTGACGAGATATTGGGCAGAGTAGAGACAAGAAAGAAGCATACAGAGATTGGCGTGAGGAAGCCACATTTTAGCAGATGCCAGCCAGACAGGTGAAACTATAGACACTCACTTCAAACAATGTATGCAAACTGAAGCTGAGGCCAGAGTCTGACTAATCTCACCAAATGGAACTCTACAAATGAAAATAAAATGAACAGAAACCATCCCTACTATTCAAGCAGACAACGAATTAGAATTCTAGGACTGACTTCCTGGGCACACTTACCTTATTGTTACCTTGTTTGTTTGCAGATACCTATGAAAAAGGTCTCTATTACCTGGCCAACTTTACTGTCAGTGGGGTGAGTGGAACTGGTCCTTCAAAGGGAGAATGGGGTCCTGCTGGTCAGTGGGGTACTGAATGCTACAAGCGTATAAAAGGCCACCTATCATTCCCTGCCTGTCTTGCTATTTTGCATCCGTTTCTCCCTCTAGACTTCAGAGAGATTTAGTTTGCTCCCAGGAAATGTTCCATGATCAAACCCATTCATGTTTCCTCAGTGACTTATCCTGCCTCTCCTAGGCACAGGTGCTGTGTCTATGCTATTGGGATTTCCTCCTGCACATGTTGTGTTTCTCCAAGTATAGACCTTAAGACTCTGGTATTTGACATGTTTTGTTTTATTAGAGTTCAGGGCCATTCTAGAACCCTTTGTGGGAGGGCAGATGGCAACAGGAGAGAGGGTACAGAAACCCTGGTCTCCACTGGCCAGCAACGCAAGATGGAGACAGAAGCCATGGTATCCTACTCTGCACTTATGCCCAAAGAGAGGTTGGGGATAATTGGAATGAGTTTTGCTATTTTCCCTCCTGTGGTTTCTTTTATCTCCAATGGACAGAATACAATGAAGAGCCACATCATCTACAACAACTACATCAACAGTACTGAGCCCTTGGTGCTAGGGCACATTGACATCTGGGGCGTGGTCAGTGCGTCCACCCCCAGCATCAGCATGACCTTGAGCCATGGCAGTGTAACACCCAGAGTCACCTACAACTCAACCACACAGGTTAGTGATCAGTGAAAAGTGCAAATGAATATTTCTCAACCCTGAGACTACCGTGCCATTCCTGCCCACACTCTTTCCAAGCAATGCCTCCCCTAAACCCTGCAGGACCCCCCTGTCTTGAGTGTGTCATGGCCAGAGGACAGCATGGAGATGACAGGGAAGTTAATAGTTTATCAGCCTTAGGCTCTGCGCGTCTGAATCCTTCCTTCCCAAGTCTGTCTTCTTGTCTACCCAGCTCTTTAAGACTTTGCCTTTGCTCCCTCACCTCTGCTTGGTGAAAGCTCCTCTTTCCAAGAGCTGGAACGATCACATTTTGTCAAATATAAGACACCCTAAGTTAAGTTTTTCCATTTTTCCTGTGCCACAAAGAAGAAAGGATTATAAAAACAGGCCATAGCGCTTTCCTAACACTTGAAATACCTATACCACAGTGCTTTCCTGACCCTTGAAATACCTATAGTAAACATACAGAAAGCTTTGCAAAAACTCTCTAGACATAAATTTTTAGCATTTCAGTAGGTTAGTGATAATACAGAGGAACAGGTTGTGTGGTGAGACATGGACATTGATGAACTGGCAGCGTACTTGCTGCGCCGGGGTAAACTGAGTGTGAAGAAATATCAAAGGCATTTTAGCTATTTTGTAGGACTTGTTTATAATTATTTTAAATTTTAAATCATTACCTACATTTTATGGATTTGAATTCTTCATTTTTGAACATTTTGCCTTTTTCAATTTTGTAAATAATTATTTTATTTTAAAATTAGATACTTTAAGTTATTTCATCTGTTATTTACAAGAAAAGCACATGGCATGTGTTGGTTAAGGACTCTCCTCTCTACCCTCAGTGGTATCGCATCATTTCATAAAAATCCTTCCACTTCAGTCTATGGGATTTTCTCCCCAACACTGAAGGGTTCTCTACTGCGGGTTTCCTCGTGGCTGGCGCTGGGTCCTGTTCTCCACCAGCATTCACACTGCTTTGGACCAGTCCTTGAGCGCTTCGCATCACCCACCCATCCCCTTCCGCCAGTCTTGGCCTTGGGGACCCACAGGCCCTGTTGATGCCAACGTGCAGAGCGCCGCCGGCGCACAGGGGGCCTGAGGCTGTTGCTCGCAGGGTCTGTTCCAGCTTCACGAAAGTAGAATCTGCACCTTGGCATTCATGCAGGGTGATGGCTGCAAAATCACCACCCCAGAATCTATGCTACTGTGCTCACTGTCGGCTTTTCCTCAACTGTTTTTCTTTGTAATAGTTCCTGATGACAACATTGGAAAGAAACAGAAGTTTTCCTTCAGTTTTGCATTTTTCATTTCTTTCCTCATATTTGTGGTTTCCTTGTCTAACAGCTCCCCCAACTTTACCACGGGCTCAGCCTGGACTTTGCCCACTGTGGTAGCTGAGCAGTTGGGGCGGGGAGCACACTGCTCCCAGGGGAGGGCAAGCTGGCCAGGAGCTGAACTGCCGGGCACTTCCTGGCGGCCATCTTGGAGGAAGGTTGAAATGGGAGGAGGAAGTGAGAGCAGGCTTCAGGAATGGACAGGCCATTTTCTCGCTCTTGTCCCCACAGCTGTCTCTCTGCAGTGGTTACAAATGGCTTATTTGGCAAGTGGGGCCCTGTGGCCTTTTCCCTTTATGAACCATCTCATATTCTAAGGGTTTTAGAAACACCCACTGGGCAGCAGAGTCTGAGTTGTGACAGGACCCACCATAGTGTAGACTGTTGACTCGCCCAGATTCCGACATTTCGACCACCATATTCTCAGTGCTGTGACTGGCTCTCAACAGGTGTTACACATTAACGCCGTGACTGAAAACGTCATCCTGCATGATTTCATTTCTTTGACGTGGAACACTGCGTGAAGTTTTACCAGCCAGATGCTGACAATGAAGGACTTCAAAAGCATTTGTATTCTATGCTCATAAAATTATTGTATTTTAAGTGATTCTTTCCCTGTCTGGGGAAAACAAATCTTAGTAATTTTATTAATTATTTTCCTGTCTGTGTTTTAACCCTGAAGGTTAGGTGGTTGGGATATGTGGGAAATCTGACCTTAATGTTTTTAAGTCAGTATCATGGCACCCATGGGCCATCTGACAACAGTTACCGCACAGGTGTGGAAGCAGAATTGTGTGTGTGCAGTCTGGAAGTGAACTGGACCCACTGCCTAAATGCTTAAGGAAAAGCTGGCCAGGACAACCCCAGACCCTTGAGTTACACCTCAAGAAAGTATCCAGAAAGAACACTACAAGTTGACTAAAGGGAGAAGGGGAGAGTAAGTTGAGATCATGATTTAAGGGGAAGGAAAAGAAAGCAAGAAAGAGGAGAAGAAAGAGAAGACGATTACATGGATTGTGATAGCTGAAGAGAGAGAGTAAATGTCAGGAAGACCAGCCTCATGAAGAGGAGAAGAGTCTGAAGGCAAGAAGAGGTCATCGGGAGACTGTAGCCAGTAGAAATAGGAATGAAGATGAGTAGCAGGCAAAACTGAAGGAAGGCGTGAAAGTTGAAAATAACTTATTTTTGCTGGGATCTGCTTCAGAATGTGTAAAGCTGATTTCTCAAACTCTGTGCCTAATGTATAGAACCACAGTTCCCACAAGTGTACATGATTTATATTCCAGAGAAAAATAAAGCAAGTTAATTCATAAGAGACTGAACTGTGTGGCATTTTGACTATGGGCATTTCACTTTGGGATGAAGACTTCTTGCTCAGCAAACGTTTCTAAGTTGGCCTTGCTCCCCTTGACCAAATTCCTGGCAGTCCACACCACCGTGGATGACCTTCCTCAGGATTATTCATCTTTTGTCTTACACCTCTGATGTGAGTTTTTCTAAAGATCTAGGTTTGTCAAAATGTGTACTTAATTGTTTTAATCATAACAACAATTGCTGTAGATGGTAAAATATCAACTCTGGCAGCAATAGAATTGGCAACAATATTGATTAAAACAGTTGATGGTTAAAAGTTGGGATAAGGAAATTCTGTGTAATGGTTAACACAGATACTATTAATTGAAAGTAGACTTATTGGAAATGAATGTTTACTGTCCCATGTCTCTGTCTTTTCTTTTAAACACCAGGAAGGTAGATGCTTCTTGCACACTCTTGTATGACTGCATGAAGTGACAGCAAATCGTACTGTTTAACTGGCTTTATGGTCTAGTGATGAAAATAAGGGCCATGGGATGAGGACTTGAGCTAACTATTCAACTAGTGAAACAAGAAAGATTAACCACGGAATTCCCTTGATCAAACTGTTGGGACACTCGTGCACTGTCTCCCATCAGCACAGGAAGTGTAGCAGGAGGAAAGTCCCTTCTCTAGATATATGGGAAATACTTTGTTAACATCAAGGGCTCATTGGTGGAAGTTGGCTCTATCAGTCAAAAAGTGCTCAAGGAGAGAATTTCTGATGAAGAATCTGGATTGCCAAGTCCCAGAGTGAAGCATGAAGGGGTTCTCCCCATTTGTAGAGTCGTGGACCCCACCGGCAGTCCCTTGCTCCTCTCCTAAGAATAGTGTTCTAAAATTCACAAAAGAGGCCCTCCCTGGTGGCACAATGTGTTAAAGTGCAGCACTATAAGGCTCTCAGCAGCCAATGCAGCATGAGATCGATCCCCAGCCAGGGAGCTGACCCATGTGGTGCAGCAGACCTCTCCTGTCTCCCCGCCGCTCCCCTCAGCAGTGGATTCCAATAGATCTTCCTGTTCCGCTCCCTACTCTGTCTCTAGGGAAATCTCTCACCCCCTGCACCTCTGTCCTGTACCCCAGTTCTTGTATGCATAGATAAATAAACCTCTAAAATGCACACACACACAAAATGTGTATTCTCTTAAAGGAGCCCTAATTATAGTACACTGAGAAAAGTAGAAGTTTAGTAACAAAGGAGGTAATTTAAATGATCACATTAAAGGACAGGATTTAGCTTTGTGGCTAATAATATCATCATTTCAATATCATGATCAGCATATGCAATATTTTGAGATAGCTACTGCAGTGTCACAATGTGATAGGAAATAACTGTGATTCTATTTTTGAAAAACTCATGTGTCTATAATAACTATGCTCTGTGCTCTACAATCAGAATGGAAGAGAATTCTGATTCCCACTTAGAAATTGGTAAGCAAATGTATATTTTTCCATCTACAGTCATAGGTTTCCTAAACTGTTCCCTTGGAGGTCTGGGGACCCTAGATTAAGGACCCCTAGATTCAAGCACATCAACCAAGCCCCTAGACTTGAGCTCAACAACTGAGAACCTACGCAGCCACACAAGAGTTGTCAAGTCTCCACACTGAGCTCTCTCAGTGCTTTTGAGTCTACTTATCCTTTTGACTTGTAGGCAGACCTTTCCCTCTGGCCATGAAGATCTTTGGTCTAGTCTAGAAAGGGCGGGGGTCTGTGAGGAGCTGCTCTGTGCTCCTCCTCATCGTTTTCTGGAATGGTGAGGTTGCACCCTGCCTCACCCCATTGCAGGCGTCAGCCCCACTGGCCACGGCATAGGGAGAAAGACTCAGAAGCCATCTTTAGGGTCAGGAAACTTGCATCAGTGCTTGCTGAATAAGTCACTTACTCTCTTAGCGATCATCTGTCTCCTGTAAAATGCTAGTGTCTAACTAAAGCTGTGGTTTCCAAACTATAGGACTGTGCAGACTCTTGGGGCTCATTGTTGGTCTTTGGGGGTGAGGACCAGGGGTGAAGACTGGGGGGGGGATGAAAAGAGTTATGGGGGAGGGGATCGAAGCTCATTGTGCCACACCGTGGCTCCGATCATTCACTTACACACATACTGGAATCCTATTGAAATAAAGAATAGTATCTGTTTTTATTTCTTTCTGAAGATATATTTTTTAAAGATTTATTTATTTGTACATACAGAACTGGGGTACAGGCCAGAGGCTCAGGGGCGGTGAGAGGCTTCACCAGAGACAGAGTGGGGAGCAGAACAGGCAGATCTACGAAGTCCACTGCTGAGGGGAGCAGTGAGCGGGTCAGGAGAGGTCTGCCATGCCATGTGGTCACCTCTGGGGCAGGCGGGAATCGAACTCATGTGGAAGTGGCTTTAGCTTCTCAGTGCGGTGCTTTAACCCGCTGTGCCACCAGGGAGGGCCTCTGAAGATATTTTTATCTCATCTTTTCTCTTAGTTTACTATCATTTTGTTGAGGTAATGTTGGTTTACAGCACCATATTTTTTTAGGAGCATAGTTCACACTTCTTCAAACACTCGTCACCACACCATCCACACTACAGGATGCCAGTAACCCCCTGCAGCCTTTGGGTCCCCCAGCCTTTGCTCCCCTCTCTCCCTCTGGTAACTGCAGTGCTTCTGTCAAAACCCAAGGCTTGTTGCTTGGCTTTGACTATTATTTTGCTTTGTTCCTTTGAGTAAAGAATTTTAAATAAGTATATATATGTGTCTTAATACATATGTTCTTAACTTTTTGCTCAAGTGGAATATATATATATATGTGTGTGTGTGTGTGTGTGTGTGTATCTCCTCATAGACATTACATATATTACATATTTCAGAAATTCCATATTCCATATTATAGTTTATGTATAATAATATATCTCCTCGTAGACATTACATATATGACATATTACAGACATTCCATATTACATAAACTATATGAAAAAGTTAGAAAGTCAGTTGTCCTAACCATTTTGATCCTAAGACTACTTTACAACCTTAAAATGATTAGGTGTACCAAGATATCTTGTAATGAGCTTATGCCGATTGTTATTATCATATTAAAATTAAAATAGCTGTATTTTCCAAAGTATAAGTAAATTAGAAGAGTTGTATTTTTGCAAATCTCTAAAACCTGGCTTAAGAGGAAAAAACTTGATTTCTCATCTGTATCTGAATTTATTGGCATTTAGTCTTTTTTGATGTCACATGTAGGCTCTGGAAAATTCTAGAAAGGAAAATATCTTCTTAGTGTTTTCATGAAATAGTTTTTTTTTTTCTTTTCTTTTCTTACAAACCTGTAAAGATCTCAAGGACCTCCCAGAGGGTGGTCCCTAGAGCACACTTTGAGAACCACTACACATGGAGACACATTCACTCATGGCCACCCTGGAGGGGCCTCACAGTGTCAACACTATGCTTATCCCTCCCAAACAGCTAGAAGGGGAAAAGTGGGACTTTTGGACATGTTCTCTCCCCTCTAGATCACATCATTGTATGTCTCTCTTCATCTACACGACAAAATAAAAATAACAGTTAGAAACCCTTGGAATTAAAGGGGAAGAGTCATTCCTTATTAATAGCATCCTCATTCTAGGATTACTTATAGGGACTTAGGCAGACAAAGTTGGGTTGGCCTGGGTAGATAAGGTTGGGCATCACCAACATTTCCTTCTTGTCGCTGTGGCAACATCACTGAGGCTTTCGCATCTAATCTGGGAGGCTGGACCTCTGCAAGCGGAGGTCATAATGTCCATTTCTGACCTGATGATGCTGGCCCTCTGCTTACTTGGAGCACATTAGGCATTTTGCCCATAGCCAACTTCACTACCGTCCCTTCTTATTAACAAGCAACTGGAAGATCCTGGATCACATACTTGTCTCTTCCCTTCAAAAATGCCTGTTGCTTTTTCACTGGTCAGGACAGACATGTGGCCCAAAAGCTGTGGGTGGGCAGGAAGAGATGGTGATGTTGAGTATTTTCTGTATTTACAAAACAGGTTTCAGCCGTGGACTGTCTGCTAACACTGTGATAAGAATGGCATCATGAACAAGCTTGGGGATGCGGGGAGTTAATTATCACAGAAAGAATAGAAAGATCTTGTGTAATGCTAAATCTCCTTTGTTGGCCATTGTTCCAATATGAAATAAGATCCATACATTTTCCCCTTTAACAAAGGCTGTCTTGTATTGGGAACGAAAGATAGGCACATTCCAGGAATTCAGTAAGGCAGAAACTCTGTGTGTGTGTGTGTGTGTATGTGTACTTGCCATAAGTAAACATTTGAACAAACATGAGCCTCTCTGGGTACGGTATTTCTAATGGCTCATAGATGTTATCAAAATATGGGGTGCCCTTATCTATGTAGCTGATATTTGTATATCAGATACACCAAAAAAAAAAAAAAAAAAAAAAAAGAAAGAAACACATAACCTCCTCAATAGCTGGTAGGAAGGGAAAATCCTGCCACTACTTTGGGAAAAACAATTCTGCAGTTCTTCAAATAGTTAAAGGCAGAGTTACATTTGATTCCTAAGTACAACCCCAGGAGAACTCAAAATATATGTTCACGTGACCATGCGTATACCAGCGTGACTCATAATAGTCCCAAAGTGGAAACAGCCCAGTGTGGATCCACTGGTGAGTAGATAATAAACTGTGATATATTAGCACAGTAGCTGCCATCCACCCATTGATGGGGATTTCCATACAGTGTGGGTCAGTGTGGACATGACGCCAAGTGGGAGGAGCCACACAGATGGCCACATTTCTGTGCTCCCCTTTTTGTGAAATGTTCAGACTGGGCAGATCTGTAAAAGCAGAAAGTTAGGTGTTGGCAGGGGTAGGGAGTGCAGACAGGAAAGTGACCAGATGATGCCGGTTGTGACTTCTTGGGGGAGGATGAGGTGTTCTGGGGTTAGAGAGTTGCACAACTCTCTAATATACTGAAACCCACTGAATTGTACACTTTCAAAGGCTAAATGTCTAGGTATGCCACTTGTATTTCAGCTAAAAAGGACCTACTTTTACTGGGAGAAGAAAAGAAAAATGTCACTGCTGTTAATGACTCATTGAAATTCCAGGAGGGTGAGAGTATCAGCTTGTAGGCTGCCCGCCCAGGGACATTGTCTCTACCAGCCTGTGGTGGATGTCCCTGCTGCTCCCCTTAGCGCATGCCAGACAGCTTGTCTTCCCCGCCCTCACACTGTGCTGGGACTCCCCTCGGCCCCTGTCTTTGCTGCCTCTGAGTGATCTCTCCACACTCGGATTGCACATGACAATCTTTCTGCTTTCTTCTGGATCACAGCCCATGTCACCAGCTAAGCTGCACCACACGCCTCTCCCTTGTGTGGAAGGAGACTGTGAAGGACCATTTCTGTGTCTTTTCTTAGGAAGCAGAATCTGAAGGCAAGAAGACCCTAAATTAGTCACCTCATTAATTCCTAAAGATGCCAAACAATCAAAAAGCATGACAAATATCCAGAATGGGCAGCATCCCATTGATAGTTCTATAATATCTAATTTAATGGTGCTTCTCTTATTATTGGGAAGGCTCTTGGACCTTTATTTGCATTTTATTTTACTTGCTGGGAAGGTTCATTTGAATTCATAAGAGAACTTGGAGAAACGGGCAATGTGATCATGAACCAAGAACCATCCTCATTCTTTTATTTACTTACTCATCTCATTGACTTACTCACCAAATAGCATGGATTTAAAATTATCTAGGGACACTGGACGAAATGCAACACACAGGAGATGCACAGTGAAGATGAACAGGATCCCAGTTCTTGTGTTCTTTACATTACATGGACAGACAAGCAAGTGTAATGCAATATGACAAGCCATGTAATTGGATATGAACAGGGAAATAGCAGTAGAAGAGCACCAGCATAAAACGCAGCTTCCCTTTTTATTAACAAATGGGGCTCTCTCCATGTCACAGCAAAGCAAGGGCCCTTTTATGGCTCGTGTCATCCAATTGCTGTCAACTTTGCAGGGCAATAAATCGATCCTGGTGGCTTGGCAACATCAACCCAGTTACCTTTGCTCAGTTCTTCTCAAGAACCACAGAGGCACAGACACAGACAATAAAAAGCTATGAGGTGAGTACTTCTCCCAAGCAGGTGGAACTTGGAATATGCTTCTTGCAAATTGCAAAAGTCCTGTCTGCTACATGGACCCTTGCTTTTCTTCTTGACCTACCTCCTTCCCACAGAGGATGAGGAGTGGGGGTAAGATCATGCCAGGAGTCACAGCTGAGTGGAGAGGAGAGGCGGTGTGTACAGCTGAGGGGGAGTTGGAAGGGTCTAGTGTGAGGAACCAAAAATAATATACAGGTGGATCCTTACGGAAGCTTGTGGATAATGTCTTGGTTGAGAAGAAGGTGATTATGCCTCTGGGCAGAGAGGGAAATGGTTGTAAAAGCATTCAGGCATTTTGAATACTAACCTTGGTTTTAATTATTCTAAAATGTCTGATATAGAAAAGCGGCTTTGGGCAGGTGGCTTTCTAAGTAGGGGAGAGTTCCTCCCTCCAGGCATCCTCCCTCTTACCCTCTGCCTGGGTCACTATAGTGGCTATGGCAGGAAAAGCCTGGGGCCTCCCAGAGCTCCCCAAGTTCCCCTTCAGGAGCTGAGCCTGCCTCCAGGAGGATTAGCAAGCGAGGCCAAGGGACTTATTCTGGCTTGTAGAGGCTGGAGAGGAAAATCGGTGGGAGAGAAAGTACCTGGAGAAGGACAACGTGTTTGTGGGGTGCTGATCACGGGCTGTAGATCTAACAAGTCCAGTGAGGGGTTGTCAGCTAGGGGGTGAGCTCTCACCTTTCTTTCCCTGTCTGAAATTCCACCACTGGAATTAGCCTCTTGGTGGTGGCCAGGAGAACTTGCAGCATCCCTAAGAGCTAGTTTGAGCAGAAGGGTCTCTTGGTCTTTGCTTCAGCCCCACCATGGATTGTGATTAGACAAAATTCCATAGAATTCATTTCTAAAATGGGACTCTTGATGCCTGCCTGGTCAGTTTGGATGAGGGATTTCATGGGAATATATTAATAGGAGATGTGCCTCATGGTGATGAGTGGAAACTGTTGAGTAATTTAGACCCCTGGAGAGATACCCCTCAGATTTGGGCTAACAGGAAAAGTAGTTTCCTGACTTCAGTCCCGCACCCCAACACTAAATGCTGTCTGGCAAGTAGTCTATAGATCACTACCTCTCACCTCCATTCCACAAGTGAGGTTCTTCTTTCCTTGGGTTATTAAACTTAACCTAAAGGCTGCTTTTGTGGGAAAGTGAAGCTATTTGAATTGGAACATACTTGTAGATGTGATCACAGCACTGAGTTGGGGTTCAGAAGAGTAGGGTTTCAGGGAAAAGGGAAAGTTAAAGAGGAAATGATGTGTGTGTGTGAGAGAGAGTGAAAAAGAGACAGACAGACAGACAAGAGAGAAAGAGTGAGCACGCATGTTCTCCAGTGCCTGGGGAGCGAGGGAGAGGGAAGATGGAGAGAGACTGTCTATAAAATTTATGGATTGTTACTGTTTAAAGATTAATTTGTTATCTCTGGAACAAAGGGGGGGACAACATCTGGGTAGCCAGGCAAGATGGTTACCAGATGGGAAGGGGTAAAATGGAGAAAGGGAACCACAGTTCCGTGAAGCATAGTTTTGAACTTTGGACAGTGAGCTTGATGTTGCTGGATTTGATTCCCAAGGTTTACTTCTCACGATGTATGCCGGAAACATGGATGATGTTAAAATGTAATGTTTTTAAACATGATTTCATTTTAAAAACTGAAGAAATAAAAACATAAAAGACCTTTGATTACAAAGCCAAAGAATTTCTATTATGTCTTCTTTTCTGAGAGGAGTTGAATCTAGAAGGAAATGACTCTCTGTTGCTATAGGTCCATCGAGGCACAGTGTGGAGTTAATGGATTTCAGGCTTAGAAAGAGGAGAAGCAGTGAATGTGTCAGGGAGCTGCGGTCAGAGTTCAGGTCAGACACGATGGCCTGACCAAAGTTTTTCCAGTGCAGGCAGAGAGGAAGGAACAGACTAGCTGGCTGGGATCTGCCTGGGAGGGATTCCAGAAAGACAGGAATCCGGAAAAGATACTCAGGTTTTTAAGGAAGTTGTGATTCTGTTCCTCACGGTATTCATTATCTGAGCAACAGTCCATTTGTCAGAATTGGCAGAGGTTGGGGCTAGATGTGAGAAGAGATGTCTGCATGTTTAAACATTTTGAATTTAGTTAAGTCTGTGTCACAGCCGACCGGACATCTAACCGACTGTGGTATACACAGATTTAAATCTCTGGGCTAGAAATGATTGGTCTGTCCTCAAAAATTTTTTTTATACTAAAAAACTTTTTACCTATTTTATTGGGAATGGTGATGATAAAGGAATAGCAAATATTTTTGTCTCATAGACTGACATTTTTAGTTTTTGTATATATTATATCATTTATATAACGATATAATCTGGGGGCATATCTTCACACCTCCACGTGCCCAGCTCTTAATCAAGGTCCTGTGAGTGGTGGGGATCGCCAAGCAGAGTAGCTAACAGTCATTTTTGAGAATTTGGAATAAGTGGAAGAATGATGCTTAGACAGAAGGAAGAAAAACCTCTATCGAAGGCAGGGGGATAGATAAGAATTTACCACAATATGGAATTTTTGTGTAGAGAACTTGGAGTGAGCAGCAGAAAGACCAGTTTCTGCAAAACAGTTATTTTGTCTGAAATGTAGGAGGTGATACTGGCTCAGAGGAAGAGTGTGGGTGACAGAGGTTGGGATAGTTTGAGGACAATTACTAGAAAGTTCTTCCATGAACAACGAGAGCTGTCTTTAAGATTGTGAGCAACTGTGCAGACCCTGTGACTTTGGAAGATGAAAACCCAGTGGCCTGTACACTGAGCTACTTGAATGCATAAAGAACATGTCTGTGGTAGGTGGTTTCATTGAGCAGATTCTGAGACGCTAAGGAAGCAAGGAAGGTGAGAATGATGACAGATAGTAAGGTCTAGCGGTCAGTTAGGGATAAAAACGAGGAAGAGCCATGAGAGAAGGAAGACAGGAAAGAGAAAAGAAGCCTCAGTGTGACCAAAGGGCGAGAAATAAATGCAATGAGAGAAAAATAAGACACGAGCTACTGACCAGCTAATGGGCCGTAGAGGAGAAGGGCTCAGAAGTGGAAGAGCTACTGACCTCTCAGCAGTTAAAAATCTCAGCATTGCGACCAGGAATTGAAGAGGGTCTGCTGCTCGTTCTCTACCATCGTAACCTCTCCGCTACCACGCATGGTCCAGAGGGCAAATTGGCAGCTGAAGGACTATGTGAGCCATTTCAGCCCCTTGGCTCTCTGCTGCATTCCATTCCGCTTCGCTCTTTCTCTTCTCTCTTTCACCCTCCTAGTCTTTATATCTGATTTTCATACTCAGTCGCCTACAGACAAAAAACGACAAGCCCAAAGCAGTCGTTGGGTGCACAGACTAGCATTGACTGGACACCCTGTGATGAGTGGAAACCTATAGACTCTGGATTTTGTAGAGAAATGCTGAGAATCAAGTCACCTGCAAGCACATTTACCTTCTTAGGGTAATGGTCTATTCTGTTGAATTGACTAGGCCCTTGTCTGTGTCCATTTAGATGGCGAGGAGTCTCAGTGTATTGGAAGTCCTTCTGATCATCTTCATCCTAATTGTAGTGGCCTTAGATATTCTCCTGCTGCTGCTGCTGCTGGGTCCTGGTCTAGGTAAGAGGAGGCCTGGTGACTGCTGGGGTGGAAGAATTGCTCAAGGAAGTCTCCTCTAAATTCCAGAGAATTCATTTTAATCTTTCATGTTTCAACATGCTACCACACTGTGTTATTCAAATTCTACTCCCAAAGCTAATTTAAATCCGTATTTGAAAGTGCAGTTTTTTTTTTCTCCTGCAACTAAACCTTGAATGCTCCTGGTAGTCAGGATCTCCAAGTCCCATTTGATGCAATTTGAGTAAGATGTAAAATTAGGCTTATCAGAATCAATGTCTCATAGCCCAGAGTCAAGTTAAAGGAATAACACCCAACCCCATTAAGGTATGGAAAAGGAAAGCAGTTGAGGACTGTCTAATATGGCCTGAATGTATAATTGTAATTAGCCAGCAGCCCATATCCTGATTGAAATAGCTGTGATCTCTTCATAGACACCACTCAGACAGAATGCCTCCTAGTCCACACATTATGCTCTGAATAACAAGATATGGTGTAATATGAAATTATACTGTAATAAAATTGGAACGTGCAATTATACTGTAATTAAAATTGAACTCAGGGTTTGTTCAGCTTGATGATGAAGCTCAATTTATAAATGGAGATTAAGCATTTAGTACCAATGCTTAACCTCTCAACACTGCACTCCACAGCAAACATAAAGACATTTTCTAGGAAGACTTATGACTTTGAAAGATGATTTGAAAACCACTGATATAGTCATTTTTAGATTATTCCTGATTTTTGCCTATAAACCTTTTATCACTTTTCTCAAGTCCCTTGAGATTGTTATCCAATGTGAATGAATAAGTAGTTTATTTTATTTAACATAAAACCAGATCTAACCCACATGCTAATTCATGCAGAACGCAACCTTTAAAAATACTAAAAACCATTGACTTGTACATTTAAAAAAAGTAGATTTTATGATATGTGAATGATATCCCAATAAAAATACAAGCAAATGAAAGTGAATGTGTTTAAGCTCAGAGGAGTGTTAAACACCATATAGTTGTACAGATAGAGCTGTTAGTGATTAGATATTGATGAGGTAGTAGCTTGAAGTCTGTCACTTCACTGCTTCTTTCTGAAATGGAATTACAACACCAGTGTTCACCTTTGTCTTGTAATTTCTCTACAGAGGAGACATTTACCCCAGAGTGTCCAAAGGACCTCCCCGAATCAGAAAGGATAGACTGTGCGCCTGGTCTCATGGTGACAGAGGTCAGAGAAATGGGCTCCATGCTTTTGATCTCTTGGGGTTTATTGCGAAGCAACAAGTATATGAAGGGTGGGGGGGGGGAGAGGTACAGTGCTCAGCCATATGTTGGTCACCTCCCTGGTCAGGGATTGAATTCAGGTCATAGGGTTGAGATACTTTATCTAAGAGGCAATATATGAGTATCATAAGTCTTAAAGAGTAGAACTTTCTTGAGATTGATTTTGACTAAGCATAAGAAATAGCAGTAAATTGCTAAATGTGCCATTGGAGTTTCTGATTTTGGAAGAATTTGACTATACATCATTCATAGAAATTAAGCATCTCTCATAGACTCCTGAAAAAAATTCTGTATCAAATGGAAATTGGATTAGGTAGTTTATGAGTTAATTTTCATTCTTCAGTTCAGTAACTTCTGAGTGGAAAATGACATAGAAATAAATGTATTTGGAAGATACCCAGCGAGTACTCTTTAGACAAAAATGTTGAGGTTTAAGGAAATATTAGAGGTATGATTTGCTATTCATCAATTGTTACTGTCTGAGTGTGAGTTTATGAGGGTCTGTGTTAGTGTAGTAAAAAGAAAAACAAGGAGATAACAGTATCTCAAGGTTTTGGTATCTAGGAGAGTAGGAGTGGCTTGAAATTGACATAGGATTATTGTGGTAGATTGTATATTTACCTTAATGAACTGGATTCTTGCTCATTGCACCTTTTTTTTTTTAAATAGAGGTCTAAAGACTTTGGAACAATTTAAAAAATGAAACTGACCTTTTAGACTTTATATATCTCAGTTTCAGAAGCAACCAAGGTACTTAATGTCTATCTCAGGCTTAGGAATATCTGTTATGCAGAAAATTTCCAGAAACCCAACCCCTGTCTCTACTTAGTCCCTATTAAGCAGGAATATTAATTATATCTATGGTGAATTTGTGAGCACAGTGAAAAAGATTTTATGCTTCTACAGTGGTTGCTTTTTTGATAGTTGGCATGAGACATTTATTTAAGCTGTATTCATATTGTAGGCCCCTATAGCAATTAAATCAGCTGTATTACACCTTATCCCACTTTATTGAATTGTGACCTAGTCTTTTCCTTGTTAGTACATAATCTATACTGAATATATTCATTTAAGCAGAAATATTCCAGCATTATAGTTATGTCTATTTAATATGGGTGTTCTTATTCGCAGTGCTCTTTCTATTCCCAAATCCCTTTGTAGAGTGTATAAACATCTAATGTCACTTTTTTGTGCTTTCCATATATTTCCTTATTTTGCACATATGTTTGTATAATTTTGGTTTTGTTTTAACACAGTTTTGATTATCCCTTATATTATTTTACAACTTGCTTTATATATTTAGGGCATTTAAATTTACATCATTATAGTTTGAAAATAGTTTATTTTTGTTGCTTTTTTATTGATGTTGTGAATAATTGAAAGATTTCTTCTTTAGTTTTTATTCATTTGTTCTTAATTTTTTATTGATTAAGTAAAAAGATTTCTTAGTTTTGACCTATTCTAGCTTCTCCTTGGAAAGTCTTACCTGGCTATAGTGCATTAATTCTTTTAATACCCTAACGGACTAAAATTGCTAGTACTGTATTAAAACTTTAGGCATCTATGATTTTATTAAATGAAATGGGCCTATGTCTGTTTTTTGCTTGTTTATTTATTTGCACAATCTTGCATAGTTTGCTAACAGAATTATTCCAGTTTTAAAAAAATGAATCAGAAAACTTAACTTTTTTCTACTTTTGAAATTATCTATCTATCCTTGCATATATGTACACACACACATATATATATATTTCCATACATGTTTACACACACACACATACCTGTAATGAGAATATTTTATCTTCCAAATCATCTTGCCATGGTATCATGCTTTTAGTTCCTTGCCAACATCTTAAAATTTTCCACAGTAACTGCTCACTTTAGGTTTTCTATTGCTTCTTACCTAATTTTAAATATAGTCTACTGGTTAAAGACTAGTGGTGGCAAGGGACACTGAGTCCATGGTGCCATCTCTCCCCTCCTCTGCTTGCCAGCGGAGCTGTATCCTGGGGCCCTCAATAAAGACCTGGACAAACTAGCCGTTCAAGTCATGTTCGGAATTGATGAACATGGACATTGGCTTTTCTCTTTCACGAGTAACTTCTTTTCCTCATTAATTTTTCAGGTACTTTTGGGGAGCTAATTTTTTTTTAAATAATATAATTGTTTATTTTTACATCATTTTGTGCATTTTTCATCTCAGTTGTAATCCCCACGTCTTTGCCTCGCTTCTTGGGCTTTGAGCTGGGGCACTCACTCATCAGCTATGATGTCACTCGCGCTCTCGCTGGCCCCTCACAGCTCCCTCACTGCTCTCTCTTCATCCCCACTGCTGCTGCCTAAGATGTTCTCATTCTCCTGATTTCTTTATCTTTGTGTATTATGTTCTGAGATCATCGGAACTTGATTTTTCCCCCCTCCTCTTGGTGTTAGGTCTAACCATCAGGAAGTACTAATGTCCTGTCTGATATCTTAGCTTTCAGTATTCTCTGTGGCTGTTAAAATGGAAGCAATATATGCACACGGCTTGCCATCATCATTTTTAGATGGTGCTTTATACATAATTGCATTTTTTATTTGTATTTTGGGCTATTTTTATGTACACTGTTATTGCTAATTTCTAAAATAATTGCTTATCGTTAGAAAACATACCATATATAGGGTGTATAAACAAATTCTTTAAAATATTTGCTAATTTTTGGGCTCAGAGATGTACTTACATTCATTAAATCAAGTTGATTAACTGTACTGTTCAAAAAAGAAACAAAATGAATATCAATGCCATAAAATATAAAGAAAAATAATCTCAATACCTGAAAAAATAAAATAGAAGCAACAAATATATACCTCTCTCTGAAGATAATAATTTCATATATTTTGAAGGCTTACAGGTTTTCTCTATTAATTGTTTCCTCCCCTTTCTTTTTATTAAGTTTAGTACTTCTCTGTCACGGTATCAGTGTCTTTCAAATGTGCGATAATTGTCTACTGTTATGTTTGAACTTAATTATCTATGACTACCTGTCCAGTTTACCTTGGTTCATACTGAGTATTGAGGAGGGAGGACAGGTGTGGGTGTTTGTCTGGGAATGGGACGGTTCGTCAGCTGGCAGACTGCCTTGCTCCCTGGCTCCCAGCATCTCTCACTTCCTCAATCCATAAACAAATACTTCAGGGTACCCACCAGTCACAAGCTTCGCCACACACATTTCCTCTACTATCTGAAAATAGAGTATGCCTATGAAAACTTCTGTAAGCTGAAATGACTGAAAGCACAGCAGCAACTGTGACTTCTTCGCGTCACCCTCTGTCCCTTGTTCCTTTTTCATGCACTTGGCACAGTGAACTTGAGCCTCTCATGCATTTCTGCTTCATGGGCTTGGGACACCTCTCCACTGTCCCCTGCCTGACCTCTCCCAGTGCTTTAGGACTGCTCATACCGCCCACCTGCCAGAAGCCCTCCCCAACCTACAGGCCGGGTGCAGCCACTACTGTGTTCCCTTCACTCCCCCCAGCACACCACTAGAGAGCTGCTCATCTCATACTGAATTGTCTGGCTTAGCCAGCAGATCTGAGTTTGTTAGTGGGCAACCCCAGAAACAAAAGAGGGTGCCCTGATTTGTGAGTCATTACACCTGCACTTCAGAACTGGGACAGGACCCCAAAGCAGCAAGGCTGTGACTCACTGTCTCAGACTACTCAGGTCCCTGGCATGCTGGGAGTTGTAGTCCCAGGTGCGGAGAGCCCAGCAGTGTGGAGCTGGAGGTGGGGTTCAGAGTCTGCTCTTTACTCTCCCTCTGACAAGCTTGCTTAGGCGAGAACTGTGTCTTGTTTTTCTGCATGATCAGTTCCTTGTCTGGTAACTAATAAATTCATAGTGAATGACTGGATAAATGCTTGCGTAAAAGAAGAGAGAACCCATGACCGAATAGCATCATAACCTATCTTTAATTCTCCTTAGAATAAAATTGGCCATAAATTAAGATAAATAGTGTTCTCTTCCTTTGTCTCTGCAACGCTGACTCTCCTGTCATTCCAGGCTGTCTGCGTAGGGGCATACAAGTGCTGCTGGGGAGAGGCCGTGCACAGTATTAGTGCCCCCAAGTGCTTCTTCCCCAGGAATTGGGGCTATGTAGTCAGCAAAGGCCCTCAAAAAAACAGCACGGGTGAGTATTGTGTGAATACTTTGGGACCAACGATGGTCCACCAAGTTCACTGTCAATTGTTGGCTAAATGCAGCACTCCTTCTCTGCCAGGACTCATCGCTGAGTTGAAGAAGGTGCCATCCCCAGCTCTGTTTGGAAATGACACTATCAACGCCCTCTTCACAGCTGAATATCAGACGTCCAGGCGCTTCCATTTTAAGGTTGGTTTGGGTGTTACCGCTGAATACATCTCTGGAGAAAGAAACACCCCTATGCTAGGTCCAGATCATTCTCCCTCTGTGAACTGTGCAGAGGGGTGCAATCTCTGGGTGTGGTAAGCGGGATGATTTATATTGATGGCAGACATCCAATATTGGGTGTTTTCTTCTCACCGATCAGAAACTCTAGGGCTGAGAATTCAAAGCTACTCTCCTTGGGGGTTCTCTGCAAGTGAAGATCTTTTGAAACACCCTACAAGGAAATGATCTTACATGGAAGTTTTCCTTCTGACAGATCACGGATTTCAATAACAGACGCTATGAAGTCCCCCTTGAAAATATTACAGCGTTTAATGTGACTGCCAGTCCTGACAATATGGATTATTGCCTGGAGATCAATCATAAACCTTTCAGCCTCAAGGTCACAAGGACAAGCAACATGAATGCCTTGTGAGTGTTCATCCCTCCTTTTTTTGTCTTTGAATACATGTTCTTCCCACTCTGCTGTGAAAAAATAAGGGTGACTTGGGCATTTTCACTATAACTCATTAACACTGTTTATCTGTCATGATTGAACTGCTAAGGATAATGAAATATAATGAGCTATTTTGTTAAGTTACATATATACTCTCATGGTTTATGTATGTTATGCTATATGGAATTTTATTTTTTGACATACATTGAAGGGAACTCAACTTCATTGTTTATGGTTCCAAATTATTAGTTTCTGAGAAACTTACCATCAAGCCCCAAACAACAGTCTGAACTTCAGTGATAATTATACTGGAGAAAATATAAGGATTAATATTAGCAAGACATGCATTCAAAGCTGGGTACCAGCAAATCACCAGTCGCTCTGTGATACTTCACCTCCTTAGTTTCAGCTTTGTCTATAGAAAGGGAATGAAAATATCCATTGTTGATGTCTATACTGAGATTTTTATAGTATCTATAAATATGTATAAAGCGCTCATGGTACTAGACAAAGGGTCTAAAAACTCATTGACTCAGAACACACTGGTTCTGAGTCCGGCCACCCGCCACCACAAATGCAAGCAAGCGAGTCTTTGGTGCAGCAAAAAAAGAAAAAAACATTATTCTAACCAACAGGGGAGAGGGAGATCTAGCAGCAGAGGGAAAGGGCAAGTTCCAGGTCCCTGGGGAGCTGATGCGTCACAGGGGAGGTCCCCTCCCGTAGAGGTGAAGCCCCACCCAGCTGGACAGAAGCTCCCACAAAGAATTGGGCAAACCCCCGTGATCCGTCTGTGTTAAAGGGCCACGACACAGACACCTGCTCTGCAGCCTCCACGCTCTGCAGGCCAGGGGCGAGTTCAGCCCAGGGTGCTGCACCCAGAATTTTGTCCGATGTCAGGGGTTGGAGTTTGAGATGCATTGCTCTGCCCAGGCCCTGGGGGTGGGGAGAGAGCTAGTTTAAGCCCACTGGGGAGGCAGCACTGGCAGCCCCAAGCACCCCGGGGCAGGGCCACTCCAGCATTCGAAGTAGTGCAGGGTGTCAAGTAAATGCACAGGAAGTGCAGGGCATCTGCTCTCCCCCGGCCACCCTCCACCCAGCTTGAGTTTCTGGCATCACCTGTCCTTTGTGAAGCTACTCAGGAATTAAGGAATCAGGGACACCCTTAAAAGACCTTCCTGGGCAGCCTGAGAGTCGATGATAATGCCTGACACAGCTGTTCTGGAAGTGAACGGGAAGGGGGTAGCGGCCTCCTGGCACAGAGCTGCGGGTGAGCTGCCTCTTGCTCCACCGCCCAGGTTGGACAGCAGCATCGGGCCCCTGCAGTTCGCCGACCAGTACCTGCAGCTGTCTTTCCGACTGCCCAAGGGCAGCAGCGTGTACGGGCTGGGCGAACACGTGCATGGGCGGTACAGACACAGCATGGAGTGGAAGACCTGGCCCATTTTCGCCCGGAATGCTACCCCCATCGAGGTGAGCTTTGCTTCCTCCTGCTTACGGTACAGAATAGCTCCCGCCTTCTGGAAAGCTGCTCTAGATTTCTTGTTGTTTCATGTCCCTTTTGGACCTGTTTGTGTTAGGGATACGTGCTTCTTGAAGCTTATAAAGTCATCCTTAGTTAGCTGACAATTTTTATAAACATCTCACTTTTTTTTTAACATCTCACTTTTTAAAGTAGAGATAGTTAGTAACTGTGGGGTTGCCTCGTATGTTTAGAAACTACTTCTGCTATATGACTATATATAACCGTATTAAGTGACGAGCATCTAGGGGAGAACTTTCTCAGCGACTGGTCTCAGCTGGACTTTACAGATGGAAACATACCTCTTTGGGCAGCTTGAATACTGTTCTAGGTCTCTGCTAGTTGGGGTATGTTCTAGAAACAGCAGTTTGGGCATCACCTGGGAGGTTGTTACAAATGCAGACTCTTGGACCATCGCCTGAATCAGAATCTGCATTTTAACAAGCTCGCCAAGTGACTTGCATGCACATTAAAGTCGTAAAGATTGGTTGTGAAAAAGTAATTTCTTTTTTCTTTCCTTTTTAAAGCCAGCAATGGGTAGTACTTTTGTAACTATAATTAAAATGCGCTACTGGGAAAATGAAAGAAAAATATTCAAGGACAGAAAAATATTTTGAATTGAACAATATAAAAACACTCTTTTAAGTGGCTATGAGAGTTTCTGTGCTCTGTTTTTGCTCGTATCTCATGACTGACTCACAGCCAAGGGCAGGGGGAGGTGGCCAGTCTGTGGCAGCAATTTGAACAGCCAGGGCTGAACCCTGTGTGCTGCTGATGGTGTTTCTCATCCCTGCTAGAACTGCGGGTGAAGCTCCATGCAGGGGAGGATGGGCCTGAAGCTCCTTCCATGGGAGCAAACAAACAGTGGCACATCCCTGGTCCATCTCCCTACCCCCACTGGTATCTGAAGCAATGGAGGGAGCATACTTACTGAACTGGACAAAGAAAGCCAGCACAATCTCGAAATGCTTGTCAAGGACCTTGACAAAGATGGGGGAATGCTATACATCATACTAGGTCTGGCTTGCTGCAGCCCAGATGCTAAATTATATGGTTATGTGCTGAGCTGATCAGTAAAGTCTTCTATTCCTTCTCCCTTTCCTTTTTCCCGTTCTTCGCTTCCTCTCACCTGACACCTTCCTTTCCTCCTAAGACTTCGAATTTAGTGTTGGTCAATGTGTATCAGCTAAAGTTTTAAGTCTAGCTTCACTCTGAATTGGCCTATGGGTCTTTTCTGTTTGACATAGCCTGCTGATTCTCTTTCTTCGCCTCTCCCCTGGAATTTACCATTATGGGTACTATTACTTATACCAGGGCTTACGTTGGTGACTCTATCACCCGGGAGCTTCTGTACAACTTTATTATATTATCATCTCTCTATCTATTCTTACAGCACTGACAGGTCGATACATGACCTTTGCTTCTATCAGGGCTCATCATAGCCCTGTAACAGAATTAATATTTTTAACTTGCTTTTTGTTTGTGTGTTTAAAGTTTATTTTTACTACCTAAATATTATGTTAATCAAAGAAGAATTTGAAAATTGCTTGTCACTAATATAGTTACAAATATTTTCCATTTTTAAAAAGATAATTTGCTTGAGGTATAATGTACGTACAATAAAATTCACCTGTTTTAAGTGCACACGTCTACAGAGTTGAACACTGTTGCCAGCATCCAGTGTTAGAATTATTTCCATCATTTAAATAGACTTTCTTACTCTCTTAGACTTAATCCTGTGGCTCATGTCTCCATAGCTTTGACTTTTCTGGGTGTTTCCTATAGATGGAATTACGTGATCCATGGTCTGTTGTATCTGTTTCACTTACTGTAAGTTTTATGAAGTGTATCATGTTGTGCTGTGTACTGGCGTGGTGGTGATACCATTTTTGTTTATCTTATCCAGGTGATATTGCCATTTCAATAATTTTTTGCTGTAATACTAAATGACATCAAATGTTGACCATGCACCTTTTGTGTACAGCTTTGACTTCGTCGTAGGGTGGGTAAAAATGTTTTAAATGCAGGGTAGTGTTATTTCCTTCCTTTTTGCTGGCAGGGAATGAGAAATCTGTATGGCGCACATACATTCCTCCTGTGCCTTGAAGACACCAGCGGGTCCTCCTTTGGGATTTTTCTGATGAACAGCAATGCTATGGGTAGGAAGCACCTTTTTTTTTTTTTTTTGGTCTCAGCAGGAATGTGGTTTGAGATGCTGCTTGTATAACCTTGACTTTCCTGGGGAGATCGTTGTTTATGGAAAGTGTATTGGGTGTATACTGGTAACTGGAAGCCAAAGTAGGTTCATCTGTTTTTGAATCCACTTCATGCTGTTTTATTGAGAGCTGCCCAGGCGCCCTCCTGATGCAGTCTTCCCATACTAGTGTGGAGAATAGGCTCCATTGATGGACATCTTCCATCAAGGTTGTAGATGTCACACGTGGGCTGTGCTGCCTGGGTAGGTGACAAGGTGCATGTGTATGCTGTTTCTTATGTTCACTCCTTCCTGTTCCAGAACCTTCTTCCTCTAGTTTCTGGACTAGTAGTGCTCTGTAAATGGTGTGATTTCATTTTTATTTTTTAATAGTAGTTAAACACAAGGTTTTAGAAACTTTCCCTGAGGGTAAAATCACCCACACATCCCAGATGTTTGTATTATTATATAGCTAGATTAAAGTAGAAATTGTTATTTTGCTTAAAAGATCAATTGTTCATTAGTGTTTTATTCATAAACCTCAGTGATCAACTAACAAGTGTAATGTGTATGATTTTTATCTCTCAAAATGAGGATGAGCTTGTTTGGGATGACTCAGGTATTCCTATTCTAGAGACCACAAAAATCTAATATCTCTCATTTTAATCCTTTCAGAGGTCACCCTTCAACCTGCTCCTGCAATCACTTACCGCACAATTGGGGGCATTCTTGACTTCTATGTATTCCTAGGGAATACTCCAGAACAAGTTGTTCAAGAATACTTGGAGGTACGGCTTTGCATTTTCTTTATCACTGTTATCTCATATGCTAGTTACAAACCAACAAGAGAACAATAAATTGGTAAGGAAACTATGGATTACAAATGCAGGGCTTATGAGTCTTTCATACATTGTATGTTTATTTTAATGCACATTTATCAGATGCCTTCTGCATGCACCATTAGCCTGAAATTCTTATTCTGACATCAGAAAAACTCAGATAGAGAAAGGCGAATGCTTTGTTCAAGATGACACATTAAAGGTCTGTGAAATATGCTTGCAGATGCCAGAATTTAAAATCCAATAGGAGACTTATGACACTGCCTGAATTTATTATAATTGCAGACACCTTAGAGTGAATTCCACTAGTAAGGTGCAAATTACCTATTTGGGAATTCAGAGACATGAGAGAAAGCTCCGTACTGAGGGATCTCAGATTGGAGGATCTGGGCTTTTGGGGTGCAGTGTAATCTGTGGTGTGCTCTGGATCTCCTCAGACTGTTGTCCTGACACTTGAGAATGGGATTGTGCTCTGATTTCAATATGTGCATTTATCCCACCCTTAATATTATTATTTCTCCTTGGCACATACCACTACTTGACTTTGTATTGGGCATTCACTTGCTTATTTCCTTTAAGCTCTGCAAGAACAGGAAGTCCACTTGCTCTCAAGTGCCCACATCTGCCTTTGCCAAATAAGACACTCACAAGATCCTCACCTCAGTAACTGAATCTTACTTCTTTCCCCCCAAATTTTCTGCAAATTCTGTTCTTTTCTGATGTTGTACTGAATGTATTCAGTACTTATTAAAGAAAGATATGAGTTGTGGGGGTTTGTGAATTATTCCAGAAGATTCCTCATGGATCTGACATTTTAGGTCCCAGAGAATGAAATGGAGACAGCATTTTCAGTGCCTGACATGGCGCTAAAACAGCATTTGTTCTCAATGTTTAAACTCCTCTTTACTTATCTTTTCAGCTTATTGGACGCCCATTCATGCCTCCGTACTGGAGCCTTGGGTTCCAGCTTGGTAGCAGGGGCTATAGTGACATCACCAAACTGGAAAATGTTGTTGAACGAACTCGTGCAGCTGGGGTCCCCTGTGTAAGCTGAAACTTCTCTTATTTTGCATAAAAGCATCATTTCCTTTTTATTTTAATTTCAGGCATCTAATAGATATTAGGAAAAGGATGGGGGCATGGATGGATGGATGGTTGGGTGGGTGGGTGGATGGATGGAAGCATGGATGGATAGATGGATGGATGGATGGATGGATGGATGGATGGATGGATGGATGGATGGATGGATGGATGGATGGATGGATCTGAAAAGGATGGATGCATGGATGGATGGATGGATGGATGGGTGGTTGGATCAGGCATACCTACTATCAGAAATATGTGTGCTAAGTTTTCGGTCTCCTGGGAGGGCCAGGAGATGGATGTGGTTTAGATTTTAGCTTTACCTCTGAGCTGTATACAATGCTGGGCTACTTAATTAGCATCTCTTATCTTCATAAAATGTAAAGCTAACATTTATGGTGAACTGGTAGTGAGGACTGCCTTATATCTGCATATAATCCCAGCAACACAGGGGGTGAACTTTGTTGGCATCAGCTATGATTTTATAAGACAAAGTAACACCTCGGATGACAGTGTTTCCCTGAAAACCCTGAGTTTTCACAGTCACCTTGTATGCTCCTTCCTGGTCAAGCCAACTCTAATCCTGAAATCTTCATTGCTCCAAAGTATTTATGGTGTTCAAAGGTTACTAGTACTACTAATAAAAGATAACTATTGAGTTTATAATATTTGATAAGTTCCTTCAGGAGGTAGATAACATATGGTTAATGAAGTTAGGAAACAGTGTTTTGGAGGGGGAAGGGCTAGTTGTTTGGAACTGTCATGCAGACATATACTCGACTGACATCTAAAGGCAGGCAGGAAAATCATGAGTGGAATGGACTTGGGACCGATGTCAGGATTTTCGGTCCCTACTCAAAGTATAATGAGGATAGTAGATAAGGAGATGATTTTTTTTTCGGTGAGAAAACTCACTCTGTTGCTTTGGTCTTGAGGGGAAATAGATTCTGGGTTCCTTTTGATTCTCTCATATATGCTATCTGTAAGAACCCAGTTCCAGGAGGGATAAAGACCAAATCTTGCCACATCTTTATTAAGCATCATTTATTAGTGCTTTGTAAATGAAGAAATGAAGACACTGAATGATTACTAACGTGACCAAGATGCCTAGAGCTGGTTAAGCTGCAGGACAAGAGCCCAAAGACAGCTCTTTTAACTACAGGTGATGTTGGTTTCAACCTGTGCTTCTCTGCCTCTTATGGGAAGGACATATATATTTTTTAAAGATTTATTTATTTATGCATACAGAGCTGGGGTACAGGCCAGACGCGCAGGTGTGGTGAGAGGATTCGCCAGAGACAGAGTGGGAAGCAAAACAGACAAATTGATGAAGTACACTGCTGAGGGTGTAGCGGGTGGGTCAGGAGAGGTCTGCCGTGCCATGTGGGTCACCTCCAGGGCGGGGAATCAAACTCATGCTGAAGTGGCTTTAGCTTCTTAGTGCTGTGCTTTAACCCGCTGCACCACCAGAGAGGGCCCAGGACATTTTTTTTTTTAAATTAACATTGCTTTAGAAAATTATGTTTCAGGTATACATACATGGTTGAGAATCAACACCTATATACACTACAGTAAGTTCATCACTGAAAATCCAACTCTATCCTTCACAATACACTTGCTCCCCTTTTTTCAGAGTACCCACCTTCCCACTTACCTTTAGTAACTATTAATTGGCCTTCTAACCTGAAATTTTAGTTTCAATTTATTTAGTTTATCCATTTCCTTGTTTTCTCAATATACAACACATACATGATATCAGTGGGTGTCTGTCTTTTAGCAGTTTTGTGACCCAGAAACAAATAGGCTTTGATCCTCCAGCAGGTGGCTGTGGTGGGCACCTGAGTCAGAAACAACTGCAGAATCAGAAGTGCTGCTGCTGTCAAGTCCAATTTGCCCTCAGAGTCCTGCATGACTAGACAGACCCTTACTGAGAAGAGCTTCGTGTGTCAGATAGGGGAAAAAGGGAGCAACTGGAGTCAAAGGGTAGACCGCCAAAGCCCCTCCCCACTGCCCAACCTACCCCCATGCATGACCTTTGAAATGTTACTTAACCCCTTCCCGTTTCAATCTTCTCATGAAGAATAGGGCCTCATGCTCACAGGTGGGTGTGCAGGCACAAAACTAATGTCCGTATGAGAGTTTGGTTCGCTAAAGCTCTACCGCATTGTCATTTGTCTTTGTTAAGTAGAACTCTCTAGCAGCGTGAGGGGAGAGGAAGACCGTGTTCTCCTCCAATGGTGTGGTCTAGCTTGATGTTTAGGGTCCAGTTAGCACGTGCTTATCATATGCCTGACGTACATGTTCAAACCAACAATGAGAGGGGACCTGTTGTAGGACAAGTAGCAAGTCTCAGCTTCAGAGATAAATAAGCAAGACACCATCGTTGCCCTTGTCCTCCAGTCCTGCCCATTAATTAGGACACACATCTGCCACAGCGAGAGCTACACCTGCAACCTCAGAGGCCCGTGTCCAGAAAGGGCCGTTTCCTCCCTGAGGCAGCTGAGGCCTGGAAATATCAGGAAAATAAGAAATGACGGACGCTGACTTGACAGTCAGGAAGCGAGGCTGTCAGGTTGCTGGTGCCTGGCGACACCTCCCAGGTCCTAGCTGGCTGGTTCTTTCTTTCAGGACGCCCAGTACTTTGACATAGACTACATGGATGCAAACAAGGATTTCACTATTAATAACCTGACTTACTCTAATCTCTCAAAATATGTGGAGAAGCTGCATAACTATGGGCTGAAATCTGTCATAATTATGGTACGTTCAAACACTCGGTTGTCTACTTTTGCCTTTCAAAATGTGAAAGAAATTAACAATTAAGATTTATTTTCATATTTATTTACTAGAATCCTGGCATCTTCCAAGATGATAATATCGCCCAAAATGATAGTTATAAGCCCTACAAAGAAGGAACTCAAAAGAGAATATGGATCATGGATAACTATGGCTTTGCCGTTGGGAAGGTAATTTCTTTGAAAGTTGATGGTGTGAATTAGAGTAATTGATGTTGATCTGGGTCTGTTGACACTTGGGTACGAAAGTGGTGGAAGACAAGTTACAGTATCATTACTGTTTATATGGTTTTAGAGGTTTCCTTTATTATTTTAAACCAGTAGATGTAATAGTAGAGTTATTAAAATTCTGAAGGCTTTGCTTTTTAATTGAAATATATTTGGCATGTGCCATTGTATAAGTTTAAGGTGTATAACATGTTAATCTTATGCATTTATATGTTAGGCTATGATTCCCATCATAGGCATAATTACATTCTATCATGTCATAGGATTGTCATTTCTTCTTTTCTTGATGGTGGGAATAATTAAAATGAGGTCTCTATAAAGCTAGTTCCTGATCCTCTAATACTACTTATGATTGAAGAACAATATATTATTTATAGGAAATTCATTCTTTCATAAAATCCTCCTACTTCCTGGTTTTTCTTTCCCAAGACAATACATTCAACTGTGCTAATGCAGCAAGATGCCCATAGGCTGATATCTCAGTAATTGTCTTCTTAATTTACATGAAAGTTACCAATAGTGTCCACTCTTTAATTAGGTAGCAGGTTCAGGAGTTAACATAGGCTGGTTCAGCCTTAGAGAGCTGAACGTTTTCCCTCTCTCTCTCGCTTTTTTTTTTTTTTAATCTTTTATGATTATTTTAAATTATGAGGTACCATTATTTTAAGATGTGGAAACAATCTGATGCCACCACATAGATAAGTGGATCAAGATGATGTGGTGTGTATATAATACAGAAATAATAACCAGCGATGAGTGCATAGTGAGCTGTTCACAGAACTAATTGATGTCTTCTTTTTTGCTCTATAGGGATATCCTGGGTTGATGGTTTTTCCTGATTTTAGTGATCCAATTTGTACTCAGTGGTGGAAAGACCAGTTCAGTGAATTTTATAAAAATGTGAAGTTTGATGGAGTGTGGATTGTAAGTTGCTCTAGGATCCATTTTGAGATGAACTTTGACTCTGGTCTGTAATAAAATAGTTTGCTTGATACAGTAGAATTTTAAAATTCTTTTACTAAATGTAACTTATATTCAGTAAACTAAACCCCTTAAAATCCTGGTTTTAATTCTATATCTGCCACTAATTGGTTATTTCTGTTGGGGAATGTTCTTTGCTTTTTCATGGCCTCAGAATTTTCCTCCACTAATTACCTTTCAAGTTAAACATATGATTTTATTAGGAGCTATAATTGCTACTATTTATGCACATATTCATTACAACTTAAAGCTAATGATTAAGAACTCATTTAATGAGCCCATTTTATCTTTTTAGCTGGATGTGTATCTTTGAAATCTTAGAAAATTACCTGTTAGCAGGATTTTCACCTATTTTTAGTCCATTTTAAAGAACTGAATTTGGTCTCAATTGTATCTTCAGTTGCCTCACAGAGACTGGGTTATAAGCAGGGGACATGATATCATGGAAATGTTATCCTACCTTAGGTTCTTTAGGGCAAAGCCGAGTTAACAAAAGCAACAATAAAAATTACAATATTCACATGGCATTCTCTGCCTTCAGCAGGTTAAATAATTAACAACCTAAGTAGCAGTTAAATCATTAACTGACTGAAATCAATGTATAAAAGGTTAAAAGTGCCTGGTAATTTTTAGAGCTGGAAGGCACTTTAGACTCCATCTAAACTGATGATGAAGTACCCATTATGACAGACTGGGAAGAGGAATCCAGGTCCCCAGATCAGTTCAGAACCAGCCCCAGATTCAGGAGGCTTCCAGTTGAATAGCTATTCCTCACAGCTGACTCTACATCAGTAACATTTCCTCTTTTGTGTATTTTGTGTCTTTGAAGGAAGGTGATGAGTTATCCTGTTTGCCCCGGAATTCCAGCTACATGTGTGAAAAAAACTCTTTGAACAACCCTCCCTTCATACCTCGTAAGTGTTCACACTTTGCCAATAGTGTAGTCACAGGACAGGTTTCAGACGACCTAAGTAGCACTCTGTGGCCAAGGGGCGCCCACAGACACCCCAACTCTCCTTGTTGGAACACTGTCTGGTCTCTGATGACTTTGTAGCACCGTCGTCTCAGACTCAGTATGTGGGGGAAAGGGTAAGTCTGTGATGTGTAACGAGCTCTACCTCTCCCTGGTCACGTCCTCCAATTCCATCACACTGTGCTTCCATTTCAGCACTTCTGACACTATCAGAACACTTGAAGGTGCAGGCTACCTTCGACTGAGGCAATTCTGTAACTATACTACTGTTCTGAAACTCATTAGCAGCATTTCAAAGCAGCAATGGTTCCTTTTAGGTCCTTCCTACTTGTAAGCCTCATTTCTTCTGTGTGTCAATTTTCCATTCCCTGACTGAATAAAAGTGCATGTGCATTTGTGTTTGTGTGAGAGAGAAACAGTATGGGATCAAATATGCTCTTCATTGTAAAAACAAATATATCCCAACATTCAGTGAATCAACATGTAAAGGTTTATTTTTTGTTCCTAACTAGTACTGCAGAACAGACAAGCTGTTCTCATCCAGGCAGTGACATAGGGATCTATTACTTCCTTTGTCTGCTTCTCCCATCTTGGAGCTCCTTGTTTCAGGCTTCTTAGGTGAAGGGCAGTGAGGACAGAAGGAGCTTTATGGACAGGTATGGAAATGGGGTGCATTTAATCTGTTCAGTTCTTTTGACCAGACCCACTCACATGGTCTTACTTTAATTTCAAAATGCGAAATAAAATTTTATACTCTCAGGAAGAGAACACAGGCTTGGTGAGCATCTGGCCTGTCTCTGCCAGTTATTTTCTGGTTTGTCCATTTCAATTTCACCTATAAATTCAGCTGTTTCTTTGACCCCTTTTTGTCACTGAAGGAGGGAAGGACTTTTAGGGGGACCTCAATTCCAAACAATGTACCTTTTCCCAGAAATGCTGGTTTGCATCCCTCACCTATTCTCTGTTCTTCTCTGCTCAGTTCATGCTCTCCCCATATTTTTTACTCTCTGGATCAGTTTGCCATGTTCCTTTTCAATCTCTTAATCTTCTTGACCAAAACCAATGTTTTTGTTCTACAGAAAACTACAAATCCATCACGTTGTGCTGCTTCTGGCAAACACTGGGGCAGAGCTGCTCCCTACTTAGGACAGGTCGATTAGTCTAGTAGTTGGTCTGCTTCTCCCCTTTCTGGAACTGGCCAGTACACATTAGCATGAGAAAGCTTTTGATAAATTACCACTGGCCCTGGGAAAGCGTTCATATCCTTTTTCATAACTGGGGTGGTGGTGAATCTTATTTTACAAAAGGAAACTTAATTTCTGACTCCAATATCTGATTTGATGGGCTGGTTCTACTGCTTTCTGGAATTGTGTTGCATACAGAAGCTCTGTGTGTAGGCAAGGCTCCCTGAATGATGTGGATATGACCCAGGTTACTGGTCTACAAGGACAAGGGAGAGGTTATAGCCCAACTGGAAAAGGTTGAACATTTTAGGCATGAGGAAGGGAAATTACAGAAAGGATGGTGATTTCTAGAGGCAAGAGTTGATTTTTTTTTTTTTTTGGTATGACTATTTTTCATTTTAGCAGCTTACAACATGATTTAGGGGGACAGGCTCACACACCCTCAGATGCTTGGCACCACTCCACTACCTTCGTCTCCATCACAGCCATGGGGTCTCTCTGCCCTTTGCTCCCTGCTCTCGACCTCCCCTTTAGGCAGTTTCAGTTCTATAGTCAGGTTTCTAGGGTCTATTTTGGTTAAGCCATGTCTGTTCTTTTGTTTCTTTCTGTTTCACACATCAGTGATAATCTCTGGTATTTTTCTTAGTCCTTCTGAGTGCTTTCATCACAGTTAAGTTCTTACTCATGAATGCACCCAGCAACCATCTCAAATTTTATTATTTAAGTGTGACTACAGTATGAAAATATTCCCTCCTCATTGTCCTCATATCCGACCTCTGTCCACTCTGTTCTTCTTGGTTAAATATAAACAGGCCCTTGTGTGTGCTTTGCTTCTATGTCATCACAGATGCTCTTGCTAAGAGCTCTCAGTCAGCTCTTGTCAGCACCATTCTCAGCTTATGAAGGAGTGCAAACCAGTATTTACTAATCTACCTGGGGGTCTAGGCCACAGGTAAGAAGTGGCCTTTGACATAGAATTTGAAATCTGGAAAGAATTATGTGTGCTGGAGACTGGCCAGGAAATCAGGAAATGCTACCAGGGAGCAAACAACTGGGTAGGCTGTGTGTCTGGGGTGTGGTGAGGCCGTGCCTCAGCAGTCGGTGTCTCCTCACAGGGGTACTGGATAGGATGCTCTTCGAGAAGACCCTCTGCATGGACACCGAGATGAAATCGAACTTTCACTACAACTTCCACAGCATTTATGGCTACCTGATGGCAATTGCCACAGACACGTAAGCACTTGTGTTTCCCCTCACTCCAGACTCCGGGAGTGGGGAGACATCGACGCTCGTCCATGGCTGTATTTTTCAGTTATCTTTTGTGGATCTCCAAAGAAACTTGGGTCTCAGAGGCTACTGAAGACATTTCCTCCTGTAGCCCCTGGTTTCTGTGCAGTGTTTTGGATTGATGTGTGGCCAGGGACATCACTATTTCTAGTATACTAGTGGACAGTGATGTAAAGGCCCTCAGAGAGCCCAGTGGGAGCTCTCTGTTGGATCCCATCATGACTGTGCTATGGCTGCTGCCCTGGAGTTGACTGATTTAGCAAGTAAAAATATAGGACACCCAGTTAAATTCTTTCTGGTTACATGTATACTAAAAATTAGTCATCGTTTGTATGAAATCAAATTTAACCAAATGCACTGGATTTACTGGCAATTCTCTAGCCTCCTTACTTCTTTTCCCACTGTTGGTCCCTTTCTCCATTCTGACTGTCTTCTGGCCCCAGGAACACATCATCACCACCACCACTATCGCTACCACCATCACCACCATCACCACCATCACCACCACCACCATCACCACCACAGCCATCACTAACACCACCACCATCACCACCTCTACCACCACCATCACCTCCATCATCACCCCCATCACCACCACCACCATCACCATCACTACCGCCACCATTGCTACCATCACCACAGCTACCACCACCACCACCACCACCATGATCACCATCACCACAGCTACCACCACTACCACCACCATGATCACTTCCACCACCAACACTCATTACTACAGTTTAGCAAAGAGGCAGATACATCCTAAAAAGTACTCAGACCTTTTATACCATGTCACACGGATTATTTTTGTTGATGACTTGGGGAGTTAAAGAGTAACTCACAGGTCCCCCCACCGAGTTCTTTCCTTGGAACTTCCTTGAAACTGAGCTGCTTTCATTCTTGAGACGATACTCTCCCCTGGCTCTACTGCTCTTTCCACCTTCCCTTCTCAGCCTTTACCTCTGGATGATGCTCATCTACTTTGTCCACTATTGATGACTTATGGCTTGATTGTCAGGCTTCTTCTCTTTGCATTCTTAGTGCTGTGCTTTAACCCCTTCTCTTTTCATTCTGTGCCAACATGTAGGTCATGGATTCTTTCTCATGGGTTTTGAAGTAATTTATTCTGATGACTTGATAACTTCCTTGACTTTCATACCCAGATATCCAAAACTATCCTCTGACTTCTGCCTGCATGTCTTACAGTACGTCCAAGGCTCTCACCTTACTCTGACACCTGTTTCCATCCAGCCTCCACTCTCTGGCCAGTTATCTTTTCATTGCATTACTGTAGTATTGAGTTAATGTTGGTTTATATAGCACTGAATATGATTCAGAGGTATAGGTTCACATCTGTTCAGATGGCCATTACTACCCCACTCCCACTATCAAAAGCACTCATATCACCTTTGAAGTTGTTCCTTTCCCTTTCTTGGTTAATAGCAACACAATCCCTATTTCCCAGACTCCCAGGAGAGACACTTGGAATCATTCTGAGTTATTTCTTCCTATCACATGCTCACACACAATCAGATCTGACAAAATATCTGGGACTATATCTTTTTGCTCTATTTATACTTCTTAATTAAGGTCATCACAATCATAAAGAACATTAGTCTGTGTGAATAATTTTTATCTCTCATGAATTTATCTTCGTGGCACCCTAAGTGTGGTTCAAAATGTTAAAAATGAACTGTCTTGGACTCCAGACCCAGGGAATCACAATCTGCATTTTCATAAAGTCCTCAGTGTGGTGCACATAGAGCACCAGTCTCCCCTCCTGTCAAATGATCTTTCTGGATCACAGTTCTTCTCATTTCTCTGCTTTGTGTAAGATTATTTACAGTTGGTGTTTTCTGTAATATACATCCTTTTTAGCAAAATCTCTAAAGAACTTCATAATCTAACCCTTTCTGAATATTTTTCTTTCATCTTTTGCCACCATCAGAAAATTTTCTGAATTATCATCTAAGGTGAGGTTAAACATAAGTGTATATTTGCAAATGGGCAGGGCAGGGAAGAATATCTTGTGCAGGGAGAAGAGCATAGGCAGAGATGTAGGGGAATGAAATATTACTATATTTTATATAGGAACAATTAGCAGTTATGTATCACCATAGCCTAATAATCTTGGTTAGAAACAGACAAGAATTTCACTCAGTGAATACTAGAAGAATTTAAAATCATAGATTTGATGACAATTTGACTCAGTCTTAGCTGGAAGTCTAGTTAGACAGGGGTTACTGGTCTACCAGAGGATAAAATTCAACACCCACTAGGCTAAACACAAAAAGAGAGCAGATCCAGTCAGAACTCAGGATCTGGTTATAAAAAGGCCAAACCTGAACACTGGAAAAGAGACATGTAAAGATCTCTTGAGTAAAATTGTCTCTGTGCTGGTGAAAGAACAGGCAGTTACTTGATTTGTGTTACTGCCATGGCCATTCTCTGAGTAAACTGTGATTGTAGATAACAACCTCCCAGTTTTGGTTTCACTATGTGAATACTGAATATGTTTCTTTCATGACGGATGATTGCAGAGTGCAATAAACCCGTCAGCCTGTGCTAATAAACATGTTATCTATTCAACAGAAAAATGAGGATGGGCGTTGAAGAGTTCTTTCCTCCAACTACACCCACTTTTTAGTCTTTAAGTGATCAGGATGGAGCAGTTCACTTTCTTAAGCCAGTCTTCGGATACAACACAAATCTTTTTCACAACACCCTTATGACTATGAGTAGGGAAACAGAAGTGTCTGTTACGGTATCTGTGAAGAATTGCCAGGTGACACCCCTGGTCCATGAGTTGAAAGGAGAGATAGAAGAGCTTGCCTGCAAAGAGCTGTCAACAATCATGGAGGCTCAAATACTTACTAGCATCCAGGACTTGTATTAATATTCCATGTTGGAACACTACAAGAAGGTGTGCACTGGTTAGCACGGAAGGAAAAAAACAGAAGAGGCATTTCAGCAAAGTGTTTATGCAGAAAATTGTTGAGTGTAAGAGCTAGGAAATGGTAGTATCTGACTACAGGCTACCTGCCCTGTATCCTCCCATCCAGACGTTATCATTCTGAATTCTGTTTCTAATTCCTTTTCTTTTCTATGTAGTTTTATTTAATAGGAAATACAGTATATCTAGTACCATGAAAACAATGGTTTATATTTTGTTTTAAGATAAAGAGTATTAGACGTCAGTACCAGTATTGTGAGAGTCATTTCAATTAATATTATTTTGCATAGTTATTAAGATTCCCTAACATTGGGAATTATTAATAAGTTCTGAAGCCCCAGAGGAACCCAAATGCCAAGAGCCAGCTGCTATGAAAACTTTTCTCTTGGACACAAATCACTCAGGATTCCAGACTGAGCTGGTGCTGTGCTAAACAGGGTTATGAATGAGCAGCAAGGTATAGAACTTAGGGATGCTGGAAAAACTTCGTCTAAAGGAAGAAAATGAGACCAGGAACCCCAAACATGGTTTCGTAGCATTGTTGAACAGAGGGCTAGAACAGATCCAACAAGATGAAGAAAATATAACCAAGAGATGGAAGCCTAGAGAAATTCCTTGGGGGACTGAACTCTAGAGCTTTGTACATGAGGTTTGAAACTTTATCCAGAAGTGGGAAGAAGAGCTCTTAAAATGCTCAACTTATAATACCCTGATGTTTTTCTCCATTTGGCTGAAAAGCCCACTGTGCCTCTGGTATAGATGAGTTCCAGACATTCACAGCTCTTTTCCTATTGAAGTAACTATATTCACCTTCAGGGCCCTGAAGAACATATTCCACAACAACAGAAGCTTCATCTTGTCCCGTTCTACTTTTGCTGGATCTGGCAAATTCGCTGCTCATTGGCTAGGAGACAATGCAGCCACGTGGGACGATCTCCAGTGGTCCATCCCCAGCATCCTCGAGTTCAACCTATTCGGCATCCCACTGGTGAGTTTCCATCTCAACTACGTAACTCTTTGTCCTCTTAAATTCATCTCTTTACCAGTCTTGGAGAGTGTGTGAAAAGCAACAGTGTGTGTCTCATTGTGGAATATGTAATAAGTGTAATTTGTGTGTGTGGTATGAGCTACCTTTGTTACGGGGGAAACCCAAATAGTCCTCACCTGTCTACTTAAATAGTTTAAGAACCAAGACCAAAAAAAAAAAAAAAAACAGACTTGCAGAGAGAAGTTTGAAATAAGATTTATTTACAAGGGGAACAAGAAGAAGAAGAACACAGAAAGAGAGATTAATGTTTAACATGTTTTACCAGTAACAGCATCTGAACTGAGACTCCAGGGCTCAAGTTGAAGCCAGAAACACAAGGGAGCGAGAGCTCACATGTATACAATTATAAGCCAGGCATGGCCTCTTAACTGCTCCTAGTTCCCACAGGCCCCCTGTTCAGGAAATCAGGTCCGTGGCGTGCTGAGCGTTGTAGTCCGTAGGTCTTGTGATCTCATTGGCTTGGAAAGGGGTGGAGTCCATCCAGGGTGTCGTTCACTGGCTGAGAGTTGGCTGCTTAACTGTTCCTGTAGCACCTTCTACAAGACAGGATGGTAAAATTTTACAGTTGGGTTGTCATGCATTTCGTCTCTGAGTTAGGAATGAGATACCGTGAGTAGAATGTATCAATGTAGATGGAAAAATTCTGTCAGCGAGCATCAGTGAATAGCAAAGTGTGAAACTGGGAACTGAATTTTGAAGAACCCCTGCTGAAACATTCGTTCTCTAATCAACCTGTGATGCACACTTTCTTTTTTCCCTTTACACACACACACACACACACACACACACATACATATTTTAAAAATAATATAATAATTTATTTTTACATCATTTTGTGAAATTTTCCCTCTCAGTTGTAATCCCCGTGGGCTCCCCATCACCAAATCACCCGTGTGCCATCACCATAGTCCAGTGCACTCCCCTCCCCCATTTTTGACCCTATTCCCCACTCCACCCTTGTAAAATATCTCTGCTATATAGTTGCTCATTATTATTACTCGCCCCCCACCCCGACCCTTTATGTTCCTGGTACAAGTGAAACCATTTGGTATTTTTCTTTTTCTTTCTGGTTTATTTCACTAAGCATGATCCCTTCCAGCTCCATCCATGTTGCTGCAAAAGGCATGAGTGTATCATTTTTGATTTCTGAGTAATATTCCATTATATATATTAACCACATCTTTTTAATCCAGTCATCTACTTTTGGGCATTTGAGTTGATTCCATGTCTTTCCTACTGTGAATAAAGCAGCAATAAACACTGTGGTGCAGCTGTCTTTTTGAATCAGTGTTTTTCTGTCTTTTGGGTAAACACATAGGAGTCAGATTGCTGGGTCATATGGAAGCTCCATTCTTATATACATATATTTTACATCGTTGTTCATTTTTGTACACTGAATGATTGTATGCTTTCTCCTCTCAGGTGTAACCCTTATACAGTCCCCACCACCCATTCACCTGTGCACCTCCACCATAGTCTCTTGTGCTCTTCCCTCCCCTGTTTTGATTCCTCCCTCTCCCCCTTCCTTGCAGAATGTCTCTGATTTATAGTGCTTGATCATTTTTTTCATTTATTATTATTGCTACTTTTTACTAATCCCTTATTTGTTTCCCCTATATTTCTCTTATAAGTGAACCCATCCGATATTTTTCTTTTTCACTTGTTTCTTTCTCCCATTTGGCTGGGGGCTTGCAGTGGAAGCCTGGAACTCTTTAAATATGCATTGATGGGCATGAGAGATTATTTTGTCATGTCATAGTAGTACTCAGTCAAATCTTTCTTCTTTCTTGCTGACCACCCTTCTTGTGCATGTGTCGATTCTCCAGGTTGGTGCCAACATCTGTGGTTACAGATATGACTCCACAGAGGAGCTCTGCAGAAGATGGATGCAGCTCGGAGCCTTTTATCCACTGTCAAGAAATTACAATGGGCCTGGGTACAGGGTAAGGCCCCCAAGAGAGATGATAGCAACCCCTTAGATTGTCTAATCTGTTGGTTTTCAAAGTCAGATGTTGAAGAAAGTCCTTCAGGTTGGTTGTAAGAGCAAGAACAAAGTAGATGACTCATGGGCAATAGGGCTAAAAAGCAGTGTTTCTGGGTGAGGGTGTGTAGAAAGCGGTAGATTTCTACTAAATAGCATTATTATTGGGAGTTTACCTAAAAGGTGAGAGGGTTGTTTTTTATTATTTTTAAGATTTTATTTATTTGTGTATACAAAACTGGGGTACATGCCAGAGGTATGGGGTGAGAGGATTCACCAGAGTCAGAGTGGAGAACAGAACAGGACAACTGATGAAGTCCACTGCTGAGGGGAGCAGCGGGCGGGTCAGGAGAGGTCTGCGGAGCCACATGGGTCACCTCCGGGGCAGGCGGGGATCGAACTCGTGCGGAAGCGGCTTTAGCTTCATAGTGCTGCACTTTAGCCCGCTGCGCCACCAGGGCGGGCCCGGAGAAGGGTTTTCAATGTGTCTGTGGTGCTGCTGTCACTTCTGTTACCCCTCTGTAAGATGGGACAATTGAAGTTTATCAACCGTTTGCTTCATTAATTCATTAATCCACCCCTAGATCTGAGGGGCCACAGAGGAAGGAGATAGGAAGAGGAGCCCAGCGATATGAACATTTCCCCCCACTTGTTGCATCTGCCCTTTCACTGAATAGTTCGGCAGACCACACACCACGACTTCTCACGACCCATCCAGCTTTTGCCCTCTTCTATCCCACATCATCTTTCCAGGGGGCAAATATATGTATAAAAATTTGTTCATGGTGATGGCAGGATAAGTAAGAGAGGGTGACATGCCCCTTGTTTTGGTGGCATTATGCGCAGTCTCCTTAAAAGCCCGATGGACATAATCGGTGACCGCTACCGCTTCTTCTAGGACCAGGACCCTGCGTTCTTCGGTCAGGACTCTCAGCTGCTGAGGTCTTCCAGGCACTACCTGCACATCCGCTACAGCCTGCTGCCCTACCTGTACACCCTCTTCTACTGGGCTCACACCCGCGGGGACACCGTCGCCAGGCCCCTTGTCCACGAGTGAGTTTCCTGACCACCCAGGATCCTTTGGGACGGTCATTTCACTGGCCTAGCTCGTTTGGTCCATGTCCTGATGGCCGCGCCTGCCTTCTCTGCTCTGTAGATTCTACGAGGACCCGCAAACCTGGGATGTGCACACGCAGTTCCTGTGGGGGCCTGGACTGCTCATCACACCTGTTTTAGGAAAGGTATGTTTCTAATCACACCGGCTCTTTTGACTCTAGAGCTGAAGCATCTGATCTAATGGTGGAGAGATGAGGAAATTAGAAAGGTAATCATTCTTGATGCCACTGGTTCACCAAGCCAAGGAACTTCCCTTTCGCAAAATTAACTTAAAGCTGGTGACTTAAGGACACAGCGGAGGCTTAGACAGGGGTTTGAAGGCCTAGGGGGTGAGGGGAGGGGCACGGGAAAGGGTTGCCTCGGCCATCTGTCTGTCTTTGACCAGAGGGTGCGTGTTCCTGAGACTGGCGGGGAACCGAGAAGGTTGGTGAGAAGAGCAGAGGGCGAGCACAGTGGGGCAAGGGAGGGCTCTCGGAGAAGGCCCACATGTCCCCCACCAGCGTGTGACCCGGGGGTGCAGGAGGGTGGCCACTGTGCTTGTGTGCGTGCAATCTTGGCTCCGTCTCACGGCACGACCTGCTGACCGGCAGGTGGTCTGGCAGGAAGGTTTCTCTGGGGGCCCCCCGGAGGCTCCACTTGTTCTCACCTGTCAGGTGACAGGTCACTCCATCACACTCACTCCCTCGGCTTCCATTGAGAAGTTCAGGAACCTCGAAGCAAATCCTTTCTACCTGTGCTTTGGGTCAAGTGTTCCGTCTTTCCGAGCATCTGTATTAATACTTGGGTTGGGGTGACCCCAGCTCTGCCTTGATTGTGCAGACGTGTGGGCAGTGTGCAGGGAGTGCCGGCTGCCTGGACAGGGCCGTGCTCAGGTGTGCACTGTTGTGTTTCCCCAGAATGTGGCCCAGGTCTCGGCGTATGTACCGGACGCCATCTGGTACGACTATGAGACGGTAAGCGAGGTGGTGTCGGCCCCCTCCCACCCCCCCACCCCCAGCGCGGAGAAAACCCTGGCAGCAATCTCAGGCATAGGCAGGCTAGGGAAGGGCCCTCCACGTAGTGGGCCTGAGTGCAGGGAACAACTGGGCTGGGTCTCTGGGAATTTTCAGCACCTCAGCCTGGCTCGGTGTGGTTATCAGGGCTCATGGCTGGCCCAAGGCTGTGGTCTCGGAGAGAATTGAACCCCAGTTGTGCCGTCCTAGGGTGGCTGATGTAAAGAAATGGCATGGATTGAACCCTCAGCTCTGGGGGGAGGGTCTCTGCTATTGTTTTCTTTGAAATGAGGTCCCTAAACTACAGGGTCCATCTCCGGGGTCCCTTCTAGACTGACAGCCTACTCACTGAACTGTGTCTTTTGTTGGTCAGGGAGAAGCTATCCCATGGAGGAAGCAGCGTGTAGAGCTACAGCTCCCGGGTGATAAGCTTGGCCTTCACCTTCGCGGGGGCTACATCTTTCCCACCCAGAAGCCCAGTGTCACCACAAAGGCCAGGTAACCAGTGCTCCTCTCTCCTAAAGCATGACTGCTCTGGGCTGTTCTCCTTGTAATGGGTGATGCTAACAGAGGCTAAAGGCAGATAAGCAAAAACAAGCAAACAACAAAACGCCTCTAGTCAGAAATCTGTCTCCCCAAGGAACTTCAAGATCAGCCCAAAGCTGGTCTCTTCATCCTCCTATAGTTGAAAGTAAACACAAACTCAGCTCCTCTACCTGTCTGTCATCTTTATACTTTGGATTGAATCGTGTCATAGGAGAGTCAGTCACCCTTGAGAATCTCCCTGTGGTCAGGAATTATCCTCAAGTGAATTCCCTTAGGCTGAAGAGAATAAAAGTAGAACAAGAGCTGGGGGTGATTGTGTGAAAGTCACCACAGCCTCAAGGTCAGGAGCCAGAGGTTGAAGCCCCAGAAGCGTTACCGTTGGCAACTTACTGTGTGTTTCTGCTTATCACTTGCAAACTGGAAATGATGAGTCACTGTCTAGAGTTACTATGAGAGTTTAAGGAATGGTGGTGAGCAAGGTCACCCAGAACACTTGCCACAGGGGAGCCCTTGAAGCTTCTATCAGGGGATGAGAGGACTCACTGGACACAAAATGGGGAGCAGAACAGGTGGGTCTACTGAAACGCACTGCTGAGAGTGGCAGCGGGGAGACAGGAGAGGTCTGCTGCGCCCTGTGGGTCAGCTCTCTGGCCGGGATCGAACTCCGGCCACAGTGGCTACAGAGCTCCACAGTGTGAGACTTTAACCCTTGCGCCACCAGGGAGGCCCCTCATGCCCCAGTTTCCAGCAGACACTGTCTACCCTACCCGTCTTCTGCCCTCAGTGCCTCCCCACACTCAGCTCCCTGTCTCTGCAGTGCCAGAGACAGCTTCCAGGCCAGACTCGGGATGATCCTTCCCCAGGGTGGGAAGGAAGCTGGTTCAGCAGCGTTCTTTGTCCTTCACTCTCTGACAGCAGGGGTGCTCTTTTACAGCCGGACTAATTCCCTGGGGCTCATTATTGCCTTGGACTATAAGAGAGAAGCCAAGGGAGAGCTGTACTGGGACGATGGTGTGTCTGCAGGTACGCTGCCTCAGGGAACGTGCCGCCTTCTCCTGGGAGTCCATGCGGCTGCCCCTGGGCACACACCTGGTGTCACTGATGCTGCTTCTGCAGCTTGGGCCAATTTCTCCTGAAGCCTGACCAAGCCCAGCACATAAAGCTAGACCTCAAAGGAGCAACTGGAATGCTATTGATGCTCCCAAAGCCACAGCTGTTATTTGATTTAGTTAAACTCTTCTCTGGAGATGACTGTTAGCAGCAAATAATACATTTAATCATAGATTTGTAGACGGTTGTTTTGGTTAGTTTTGAGGGAGGAGTTGTTCGCCAGCTGTGAGGTTTCCAGGTCAGACAAACCCTAGAAATCTGATCTAGAACTGAGGCCGCCCAAGGGGCAAAAGCAAAGAGGACGGAGCACAGAGGACTGTGGGGAGGGGCAGGGGGCGATGGTTGTCAGTGGGGTGCAGTAACAGCACTCTTGGGTGGAGATCCTGCCCTTCTAACACACAAACAATGATGTAGATAGACCAGTTAGTACAATTAAAAAAAAAGAAAGAAAGAGGGGGAAAAAGATTCCCATGCAAGCCCTCACGCAGACTGTGGGCGTGTCACGTACAGATCTTGCCCTGACTAAAATGATCGCTCATCACTGCGTATTGCTATTTGTTGCTGCACTGCGTGCAGAGGATCTAAACATGAATAGGACACAGATACAGCCCCTGGGAGCTCCTGGCCGAGCAGGAGACGCACGTTGTACGTGGGTCACAGCAGCGCCAGTCAGACTGGGAAATGCCAGCAAAATGGCGCCACAAAGCATCATGGGAGTTCAGGGAGGGGGTGATGGCAGCAGGTGGAGCTTTGAGAGAGCCGGTGGAAACTGAGTAAGCAGAGCTGGTGGCAAGGCTGTGCCTACAGTGACAGGGGCCCTCTGCTTTTCTGTTTGTAGATGCTGTGGCTAAAAAGAAGTACATTCTGTACGAGTTTTCCGTCTCCTCTGTGAGTACTGTTTCGAGGAACACAGCATGTCTGTTCTGTGGCTGCTTTTGAGCTTCCGGTTTGCTCGGGCCGAGGAATAGCGCAGTGCTTGACTGTCATGCTCCTGGACAGGAGCCACATGAAAGTGAAAGTTTAATCTGAGTCAGATACAGAATAAAATAAAATAAAAAACAATCAGTGTGAGTTCTGTGAAGAACTCACTGTGAAGAACTGATTGAAAGAAAACATTGAATCTGAACCCAGGTTCCTTATGTGAGGGGATGCAAGAATGTCGGGGTGTGGGTGCAGGGGATGTATGGAGGAGCAGTGACTTTTCGAAGTTCTTCTTTTCAGCCTCCAAAACTTGGCCTTGGCCACAGGTGTTAAGTGGTGGTTTTACGAGTCTGCTGAGTACTGAGTGTGCTCGCCTCTTTCAAGCTCCCAAAGGGACCATTAGTAAGAGGCAGCCAGGCAGTGAGGCTGGTGGAGGAAGGGGAGGGATTACATCAGGGGAAGAACATATTTTTTGAGTAATAGAATCAGTAGTTTAATTCCATAAATCAATGAATCAAGAACCAAAGCAAGCTTGCTATGTCAAGGTCAGTAACGGTCAAGGCGAGTCAGCTTCCCACATCCCCTGTGTCCATCTCTGACAACACGTGGAACCTCAGAGATACCTTCAGTCTCAGAGAGAGAGAGATGCTGGGTGGTGCTTGGGAACCATTAGAGTGTGATGCCCTTGGTCTCTAAACTGACCTTTTCTCCCCTTCTAGAATTGCCTACAGGCAAATGTCATTTTAAATAATTCAAATTCAAGTGACCTCAAGTTCACAGACATCATAATCTTGGGATTGGACAAGCAACCTGTGAATTTTACTGTCACACCTGACTCCTCATTAGACTGCTCCTACGATGCTTCAGCCAAGGTGGGAGCTCTCTTCCTGCAGAGCCTGTGTCCAGCACTCTGGCCTGGCATCTGGCCCCCTCTGCTTGGGCAACAGCCAACCTGAGAGACAAGTGGCTTCCCGGGGACCCTACTGCCCCCTGGGGAGGATGCAGAGGGAGAAACAGGCTCTTGATAATCGTGGTTCCCTGCCTGTGTTTGCAGGGATTGCGAGGTGCACAGTGGTGGGGACCCCGAGGCCAGGCTGTTCTCTGGGAAAATTTAAAACTAGTGTGCTGGTCCCAAATCCAAATATTGGCAGAGCTCAGCAGAGTAGTTACTCATTTGTTCCCTCAAATTTAAATCAAAGTCTCTCTTTGAGACCGCTGATACTTTTCCGTAGCTATTTTACGCCAGAAAACGAGCGTTGACTAAAAGACCAGGGGGGTCTGACTGGGCTCTTATTGGATGATCCTTAACACGCCTTCTCTCTCAAAAGATGCCAGTGGGCATTTCCAGCGCTGGGAGCACCACTATTTCCCAGCAGCCCTTCCCTCGGGCAGAGGATAACCGCTTGGCTCCTAGCACCAGGCAGCCTGGGCTTCCACCCTCTCTCCCCAGTCCCATCTCCTTGCTGTGAGATTTTGGGCAACGCACCAAGCCCCTCTCAGTCTCAGCTTTCTATTTTGTCAAAAGCGACCGCCATATTCCTCTCAGCGTAGGATCCCTTACCGGATCCGCAGGAGTTGCGCCGGTTACATGCTTGAGAGAGTTGAGCAGTGTCCCGACTGCCTTCTCTACTGGCCAGCCGGGCTCGGACAGCCCCGCCGGGCTCTGAGCTCCTGCACACCATGGCCGCCTCTGGCTCCTCTTCCACGGTGGCTCCAGAGGAGAGCGAGGTCAGGAACAAGCCCAGTGCATTTTCCGGCTTCAGAGGGGAAAACGGCATTCCAAGTACCCCCTGGCAGAGGCCCTGGGGGAGCGCCAGCTGCGCAGGTCCCGAGGCCCAGGCCACCAGGGAGGGACGTTACCCAGGGGCCTCTGGCTCGTCTCGGTTGCCAATGCGGCCCTCTCTCTGTCTCCCAGGTGGTGAACCTCACGAACCTCACGAATCTGATGCTGGGACAATCATTCAACATTACCTGGACTTTTCTGGTCAAGGACAATGAGAAGTTCAACTGCTTCCCGGACAACCCACCTGAGTTGGAGCAGATCTGCCTGCAGCGCGGCTGCATCTGGGAGGTGAGGGCCAGGAGCAGATCCCCACAGCGGTCAGGGGGGTGGGGACTCTCCCACGAGTCAGTAGGCATCTGGAAAGCGCCTCTCAGCACTGACGGGCTGAGCCATCATCACTCTTCAAGGAGGAAGAGATTGCCATATTCCTCACAGCTCAGGGCTCCCTTGCCGGTCCCTACAGGAGTCACCCCGCTGCCCACTCACACACATCTTGAGAGAGCTGAGCAGTGTCTGACTGCCCTCTGCACTGGCCATGCACGAGCTGCTGTGTCAGTTTGTCAACTTCCTTAGTGGCCACTGTTTCCCTCGGAGACCCCCAGCCAGAAGAAGCCCGTTGCCTCCAACCGCAGCACTTCAAACTGTATTTTAATCTTTGCTGTAGCAGTGATTCTTGGGTGGCCACGTACAGAGGCAGGTGGGGTCCGAGGGCTTCTCCACTGGACAAGCGGAATAAAAGGGCACGATCACCAGCGGGACGGGGAGCAGATCCGTCTCCAGATCAGGTTCCAGCTGACCCGCCCTGCCCACCTCGAAGCAGGCGCGTGCACGCATCAGATGGAGCCATCCAGTTGCCACAACAAAGCGCCGCAGACTGGGCAGTCTAGAGCAGCAGAAATGTATTCACCCCAGGCCGGGCTCGGAGGCTGGGCTGGAGGTGTGAACAGAGTTGGTTCCTCCGGAAGCTGTTCGTGCCGGCTCCTGGCTTCCGCCGCTTTGCTGGCTCTCCTCCATGCCCCTCGTTTACAAAACACCACTTTGAGCTCTGCTTTTATCTGCACATGGTGCCTCCCCGGGTCCCCCTTTCACTTGAGACACTGGTCATTGTGCCCCAGCCCTGCCCTAACTCCCTCATTGTACCTGACCATCTCCAAGACCCAACTTCCAAACGCTGCGCTAACGGGTTGGGACTCAGCATTTTGGGGGCGATGTAACTCGACCACGACAGCAGGCCTGGTGGGAGAGGGTGTCTGTGTGCAGCGCTGTGGGCCATCATCTGTGGTGGTGTGGGGCTCCTCTGTTGCAGGCCACCAATGCTTCTGGCGTGCCCCAGTGCTACTACGACACCATCCCCAGTTACGCAGCCAGTGACATTCGGTACACACCTTCGGGCATCAGCTTGCAGCTCACCCACCTGGCACCCCCTGCATCAGCAAGGGCAGCGGCGCCACCCCCACCCCGAGCTGCACCAGCCGCCTTTGATCCTTTCTCTGCAAAGATCAGGTCCCTCACCGTGAGTGTGATCTACCACACAGAGACCATGCTGCAGTTCAAGGTAACCCCGTGGCGACTCCGACCTCCTCAGCCTGTTCTGACAGCCCGACGCTCCTGGCAGTCGTAGTCACTTCTGTCTAGTCCTGATGGTTTTGTAAAGGAGGGTGCTGAGGCCCTGAGGTTAGACGGTCAGGGGACAGCAGAGCAGGACCTTGCCTGTACCACGCCAGGAGTCCTCGCGCGATGACCACCCTCAGGGAACCATCCTTTCGTCCTGAGAGAAATCACGTCTGCTCTCTGGCGAAATCATGGACGTGCTGTTAATTGGTCCCACCATGAGAGTAGTTCTCTAGCAGTGTTTCTTTTCTGCTTTTAGTCAGAATTGTTAGACTTGTTGTTTAAATGTGTTGCATAACTTTGGGACCTGCTTTTCATTGAGATAACAATGGTTGACTCACTGAATGATTCAGGTGTGCACACTTCGGCTGTCTGCTCCAGGCACACCCACCACCGGACCCCCCTGCCCCCCACAACAGAAAACAGGGGTCCCCTGCCTCTTCCTCCCTGCTAACTGCAATTCTAAAGTCAGATTTCTAGAGTTTGTTTTAGTTAGCTTTAGTTTGTTCCTTTGTTTTGTTCCTTTATGTTCCACATAAGAGTGAAACCATCGCTGTTTGTCTTTCTCCTTCTAACTTATCCCCCAGCAGAATCTCTTGCAGTTCAGCCATGTTGCTGGAAAAGGCAGGGTTTCGGCTTTTTTATAACTCGCTTAGCAGTGGTTCTTAACTTTAGCATACAGCAGAATTCCCTGAAGACAGCATCCAACCATTCAGATTGCTGGGCCTCCCCTAGAGTTTCCAGCCTGAGCATTTACATTTTTAACAAGGTTACAGGTGACACTGATGCTTCCAGGGCCCACACTTGGAGGGCCACTGCGTATGCTAAAGTTAAGAACCACTGCTAAATGAGTTATAAAAAAGACAAAATCCTGCCATATATATATGTGTATATATATATATATATTGTTATACTTAGTGCAGTAATTCAGATAGAGAAAGACAAGCACTGTATGCCATCCAAATGTGGGTAGATAAAGAAATAAAACTAATTAAATAGAA